CATCTCTCACTGCCCAGGTCATGTTTCAATCCCCACGTCCTCCACAGACATGGGTTTTGTTTGGTGCTGGTGGCTAATTCCCCAAGGATGCACTGTAGAAGAAAAAACAGAGGAGCATGGATCTTTCAAATCAATAATTTACAAAGTTTATAAATCAAGCAATCAATTAATAAAATAATAAAAGATATAAAATAACCACGCTATCAATGTTACATATATAGAGAGCAGGATTTAAACCACACTGAAAAAATGGTCCAAGAGGAGTTGCTCAAATTGCAAAAACAAATTTGACAACAATAACATCACTTTTTTACGTTTCTCTGTCCAGCATGTTTAAATCTTACAAAGGTCACTTGATTGTGGCCGATGTTAAACCTGCATGTTTTAATCAGGTTGAGGAAACATGACTTTATTATAATCTGTGGTGAGGCTCCTCCCTCTGGAATTCTCCTCCTCAAAACTTTTGGAGGGAAAATTCAAATGTAACAGGACACAGGACAGATCCAGGGGCAGAGACACACAGTGTGGAGCAGGAGGATTATGAGAGCTGATCTGGAGGTGAGACTTTTTCAAAGATTTTATATGTTTCTCTGGCCTAGAATGTCGTCATTGTTAAAACATGTTTGTGGTGTTTTATTTGAAATTAGAGTTAATGTAAGGACAGCTTGAAACAAATTGTATTTGACTGTCCATCTACAAGAGTGTGACAGTTGTACTCAGATGTGAATGTGTTTGTTCCAGAGTCGTCTACAAACACAGAGTGACGTCCAGAGCTCTGCTGGAGCTGTGGGGAACTTCATGAATGTTCTATCTAATGTTTCAGAGAAAAGGAAGATGTTTGAGAACCAACAAACCACAGAGCACAGATGAACAAAGTAAATAACTCAACTAAAATGATTTTAAAATTTTTCAAAATGAACTTCCTATTGAAACAGTTTTCGTGCTTCTACAGGGTGATGTGGCACTAGGAGACTTTATACCAGATGCCCTCCCTGTTACTGCGTTTAGAGGAAGAAAAGCAGCACACAGTGAGTTTTGTTTCTGCAGATACACTTCTAATGTTCATGTGATTCTGTTCTGGTCCATTATTGTAGTAATAAGTACTTTAAGTGTATTTAAACATGTACAACAGAGTAGATCATCAGAATGTGACCATCATGTGTTATTCCTGTGTCCACAGGCAGAGACCAGAGCCTCTTCACTGGAATAAATCTTCACACTGTCCAGCTCCAAACTGTGTGTCTCTGTACTTGTGTGTCTCTGTGTGTTTGATTCTGTTTAAGACAATACAGAACTGTGGAAAACTAAAGACTGTTTTTGTTTTCTTTTACAGAATTAGATCAATTAAATTAAATTATACATACTTATACATTTCATGATAAGGTAACATAAGATAAATATGCATATTCAGCATGATTTGATCAAATTTCATCAACATGAAAAAGTGATGTTCATGTTCTGAGATAAATATGTTTAGAGGGGTTCGAAAAAAGTTTCAAAGCCTAAACATAATTTTATTGCATGCAACCGCTGTCCATAACTTTTTTATGCAAATCCAGCAACCTTTTTTTTTTCAGTGCACAAACCTTCAAACCAGTGGAAAAACACTGTACACTGAAAAAAAAAGGTTGCTGGATTGGTGTAAAAAACTTATGGAAAGCGGGTGCATGCAATAAAATTATGTTTAGGTTTGAAACTTATTTTGATCCCCTATACACATATTTTTCTCATAACATGAATGTCACTTTTTCATGTTGATGAAATTTGATCAAATCATGCTGAATATGCATATTTATCTTATGTTGCCTTATGGTGAAATGCATAAGTCTGTATAATTTAATTTAATTGATCTAATTCTGTAAAAGAATACAAAAACAGTCGTTAGATTTCCACAGTTCTGTATTGTCTTAAACAGAATCAAACACACAGAGAGCACAGGGACAGAGACACACAGTTTGGAGCTGGACAGTGTGAAGATTTATTCCAGTGAAGAAGCTCTGGTCTCTGCCTGTGGACACAGAATAACACATGATGATCACATTCTGATGATCTACTCTGTTGTACATGTTTAAATACATTTAAAGTACCTATAACGGACCAGAACAGAATCACAAGAACATTAGAAGTGTATCTGCAGAAACAAAACTCACCATGTGCTGCTTTTCTTCCTCTAAACGCAGTAACAGGGAGGGCATCTGGTATAAAGTCTCCTAGTGCCACATCACCCTGTAGAAACACAACAACTGTTTCAAAAGGAAGTTCGTTTTGAAAAATGTGTTTAAAATCATTTTAGTTGAGTTATTTACTTTGTTCATCTGTGCTCTGTGTTTTGTTGGTTCTCAAACATCTTCCTTTTTTCTGAAACATCAGATAGAACATTCATGAACATCCCCTCAGCTCCAGCAGAGCTCTGGACGTCACTCTGTGTTTGTAGACGACTCTGGAACAAACACATTCAAATCTGAGTCCAACTGTCACACTCTTGTAGATGGACAGTCAAAGACAATTTGTCATTACATTAACTCTAATTTCAAATAAAACACCAGAAACATGTTTTAACAATGACGACATTCTAGGCCAGAGAAACATATAAAACCTTTGAAAAGTCTCACCTCCAGATCAGTTCTCATAATCCTCCTGCTCCACACTGTGTGTCTCTGCTCCTGGAACTGTCCTGTGTCCTGTTACATTTGAATTTTCCCTCCAAAAGTTTTGAGGAGGAGAATTCCAGAGGGAGGAGCCTCACCACAGATTATAATAAAGTCATGTTTCCTCAACCTGATTAAAACATGCAGGTTTAACATCGGCCACAATCATGTGACCTTTGTAAGATTTAAACATGCTGGACAGAGAAATGTAAAAAAGTCATGTTATTGTTGTCAAATTAGTTTTTGCAATTTGAGCAACTCCTCTCAGACCATTTTTTCAGTGTATCAACTGAGCTACTGTCACCCACACAATCCACACTCAGCATACAGACAAAACAAGTTTTTAAATGGTCTGAAAACTCAAATGCTACAAAATGAGGTGAGAGTAAGTAACGGAAAAACTGAACACAATTTTATGTGTGAGAGACTTGTTTAACAGCAAAAACCAAACAAATCACACCTGAAAACTGCAAAATAAATCAAGAAATCAATTAAAAACAACAATAAAAAGTAGAATTTACAGAAGTCTCTCAGATTATTTACTGACAATTTATTATTACCAGCCAATCCGACTCTGTCCCAGTGTCACTCCTGTTTGGACTAAAAGATAGTCCTCATTAAGTTTTTGTTTAGTCCTGCGTTAGTTCAGGTTTCATCCTGGGTCAGTCTTGGTTTAACCCTGGTTTAGTCCTGGTTTGGTTCTGGTTTTAGTCCTGCTTTAGTCCTTGTTAAGTTTGTCCTGCTTTAGTTCAGGTTTCATCCTGGTTCAGTCTTGGTTTAGTCCTGGTTTAGTCTTGAATTAGTTCTGGTTTAGTTCTGGTTTAGTCCTTGTTAAGTTTGTGTTTAGTTCTGCTTTAGTTCAGGTTTCGTCCTGGTTTAGTTTTGTCCTGGTTCATTCTTAGTTTTGTTCTGGTTAATCCTGTTTTATTCCTGGTTTAGTCCCCTTGTTTAGTCCTGGTTTAGACCTGGTTTAGTATTTGTTTACTCCTGGTTTAGTTTAGTTCTGGTTCAATCCTAGTTCAGTCCTTGTTTTTTTCTTGTTTAGTCCTGGGTTAGACCTGGTTTAGTTTAGTCCTGGTTCAGTCCTGGTTTAGTCTTGGTGTACTTCTGGTGTAGTCCTGGTGTAGTCCTGCTTTAGTCCTGTTTTAGTCCTGCTTTAGTCCTGGTGTAGTCCTGGTTTAGTCCTGTTTTGGTCCTGATGTAGTCCTGGTTTAGTCCTGTTTTGGTCCTGGTGTAGTCCTGGTTTAGTCCTGCTTTAGTCCTGGTGTAATCCTGGTGTAATCCTGTTTTAGTCCTGCTTTAGTCCTGTTTAAGTCCTGCTTTAGTCCTGGTTTAGTCCTGGTGTAGTCCTGGTGTTGTCCTGCTTTAGTCCTGTTTAAATCCTGCTTTTGTCCTGTTTAAGTCCTGCTTTAGTCCTGATTAAGTCCAGCTTTAGTCCTGGTGTGTAGTCCTGCTTTAGTCCGTTTAAGTCCTGCTGTAGTCCTGGTGTAGTCCTGTTTAAGTCCTGCTTTAGTCCGTTTAAGTCCTGTTAGTCCTGATGTGTAGTCCTGCTTTAGTCCTGCTTTAGTCCTGTTTAAGTCCTGCTTTAGTCCTGTTTTAGTCCTGCTTTAGTCCTGGTGTAGTTCTGTTTTAGTCCTGCTTTAGTCCTGGTGTAGTCCTGTTTAAGTCCTGGTGTAGTTCTGTTTTAGTCCTGCTTTAGTCCTGTTTTAGTCCTGCTTTAGTCCTGGTGTAGTCCTGATGTGTAGTCCTACTTTAGTCCTGTTTTAGTCCTGCTTTAGTCCTGTTTTAGTCATGCTTTAGTCCTGATGTGTAGTCCGTGTAGTCCTACTTTAGTCCTGGTGTAGTTCTGTTTTAGTCCTGCTTTAGTCCTGTTTTAGTCTGCTTTGCTGTTTTAGTCCTGCTTTAGTCCTGTTTTAGTCCTGCTTTAGTCCTGTTTTAGTCCTGCTTTAGTCCTGGTGTAGTTCTGTTTTAGTCCTGCTTTAGTCCTGTGCTTTAGTCCTGGTGTAGTCCTGTTTTATAGTCCTGTAGTCCTGCTTTAGTCCTGGTGTAGTCTTGTTTTAGTCCTGGTGTAGTTCTGTTTTAGTCCTGCTTTAGTCCTGGAGTAGTCCTTTAAAACAATAAATCAATAAAAACTAAAACAATAAAAGTTAGAATTTACACAAGTCTCTCAAATGATTTACAGACATTTTATTATTACCCCCCAGTCCGACTCTATCCCATTTTTAACTTGTGAACATCTCGTCACACTTTCCACATGATATAAAAATAAATATGTTTGAACAACAAAAGTTCTAGAGAAGTGTTACGTAACTCCTCACGTTGACAGGTGGGGGCGGGACTTCCTCTCGGAGATCCCGGAAGTTGTCGTGTTACTTTTCCTCTCCTCCTCCTCTCCTCCTCCTTCAGTCTGCGGCCGAAAAAACAAGAAAAACTACTCTCAACCAACCCGATCCCGGACGAATACTTAGTGGACACTTTTTCGGACGAGGGGATCACGATTTGGTGAAAGAGATTCGGATGTCATCGTGAGAAAATAGCGAAGAAATGCCCGAAAAGCGCAGAGGGAGAAGTGGACACAGGCTGGGTAAGCGAGCAGGTTTTATCGTCTTTTTCTTCTAACTACGGGACATATGTTTAAGCTGCTCTGTTGTAAGTTGAAACCGGGTGAATTTAACGTGTCTTCACTTTATTTTATCCCGTAAAAGTGTGATCTGTCCCGAAGCAGCTACAGGTGAGTGAAATATCGATCCATGCCCGAAAGCGTCACCTCCAATGCCGACGTAACCTCCTCAATGCAAACTCAAACTAACGAGGTGAAACGGGATATTTACGCCTACGACAAATGCAAAATACACAAAGAAACATGTAAAAATCGTATATTTTCCTAGAGAAGTAAGCCTGTCCTTGTATCGCCTCGTGTCATGTTTAATGAACCGCCCGTAACTTTATGGACCAATGACCTTTGCTATTTACCAACAGGAAATCAAACTTTCCGTTACAAGATAGAAACTTCACAAACACGTTAATGATATAGAAAAAAATGTAAAAAGTAAGAAAAAAGTATTAGAGTTAAGAGTGTGCAAAAATATTGAAATATCGACATAAATATCGTTTAAATGTGATGATACAGTATCGATATCGTGGGCTGCTGTATCAATATATCGCCAAGAGTGGAAAAAGTATTTTGTTATAGTGCTACAGTTTTGTTTGTGCAGAGGAAGGAAACTTGTTTACGCAGCACATTTAATATATGAACACACAGTGAGGCTCCAGAGGCAAACACTGTTGTTGTGTCCTTAGGCAAGACACTTCACCCACATTGTCTAGTAAGAAAGTGGTGTGTGTGTGTGTGTGTGTGTTGGTGGTGGTCAGAGGGGCCAGTTGCGCAGATTGGCAGCCTCGCTTCCGTCAGTCTGCTTTGGATATCTTGAAAGGCTCTATATAAATGCAATGATTAATTAATTAAAACAAAATAATGTTCGATGATTAAAATGGGTGTGTTTCATATTCAGTTTGCACCAGAAATGATCAATGATTTAGACATTATTTTTAACTGAATCATATTAAATCGATTTGAAACATTGTTTTGAATCGAAAGCTCAGTGTATTGAGGTGTATCGTACCGTGGCCCCTGTATCGTATTGGCAACTTTTTAACGATACCCAGTAGGGATGGGCATGATTAGTTGATTAATCGATAACTTATCATTAAGAATTTCGTCAATTATGTTCATTTTTAATTGTCAAACCAAATGTAGGTTGCTGTGCATAGTCTAGGGTGACCAAACATCTGTTTTTCTCCGGACATGTCCGTTTTTCACGTTCTGTCCTGGCCGCCCGGGTTTTATTTTATAAAGTGATGCAAATGTCCGGGTTTTCATTACCTTTCATTGGGCCATTAAACTGAGCGGCTGATGTAGCTCTCTGTAACTCAGAAGGAGCGAGCAGACACAAACAGTGGGTCAGTCTGCAACATGCGGAAGTGCAAATGCGCATTTAACGATGATTTGTACAAGAAATTCCCCGCTTTTCGTCCCGAGACTGGGACAAGTGTGAGGCCATGTGCACAGTGTACAAAGCAGGATCATATGTTTCGGTGTCCAGTGTGGGTGCCAGGAACCTCAAAGCTCAGCAGGACACCGAAAAACATTAGGGTCCACCATCAGTTTGTGTTCAAGGAGATATTATTGCTTTGACTGTAATGTTTTGCAGTGTGGCATCAAACTTACCTATTGTGCAGTTATTAAATTACAGGTGTGGTTATTGTCTGAAAATAAGTTAAAGCAGACCTATTCTGTAAAATGGACAGAATAGTTTCCTTCACATTGATTCTAAATTGTATTTAGAGTGATCCGTGCATGCTTAAGCAAACTTTAAACACTTATTTTCAAGATGTCATTTTACAGATTAACTCCTGTCTTCACCGCCACCGGTGCACATCCCCTGTGACGTGCTTACTTTGTTCTCCAACTTTATTTTCTTAATTAGTGATACGCGTAGGAAAGTAGTTTTCTAATGTGGAAGTCAGTAGAAGCTGGTCCTTTTATTAAGTCATTATAGTGTGATTTGTAATCCACTTTTGTCAAAGATATAGCAAACTCAAGCGCAGTATGTGTTCTTTTATTTGTTTCTCCACAATATGACCTGTAACTTGGCTTTGTGTTGTCTCTTGATTGTGTTCGTGGATATAGATACCATGAAACAGCAGTGTTCAGCGTAGCAGTCTTGAATGAGTTTTATCTCATTATAAAAGCTATATTTGCAATTTGCATGTGATTCTGCTGATTGTTCTTATCAAACCACAGACTGATAAAACATGAGCACTTGTTCTGTTGACATGCATTTGGAAAGTCCCTGGATGTGCGCAATAAATCCAAAATCACTTTCATTTTACAGCTCATAGATTAGTGTGATGCAAGAACCTGAGTGAAGACAGGCTGATTTTAGAACATTTCTGATGGACTGCCATAGGCTTGTCAAAAGTCCTAAAACTACCTTTGAAACTAGATCCTCATTTGAGCAGATGTCAGTACTAAAAATGTAGAATAGAACTGACCCTTTCCTGAATGTCTTTAGAATGATCTTGAGCTGTATCAGAACAAGTAGAAGACACATAGACTAGTACACACACATGGACAAGTATGGAACCTACTACACCACTAAGGATTAAGGACATATAAGACACATGGGAATAGAAAAGAAAGTACCATGACTTAATGTTGAAAATCACAGTTTCACATCACATTTTTATTATCACTGTGGTATTGAGTATCTAGTCTATTCCTTAATACTGAAATACATTTTAAAATTTTAGTATTGTGACAACACTAGTAGTAATTGTCTTGTCCAAGTCAAGATAAATTTTTTTAACTCAAAAATTAAATAATTCAAATAATCAAATCAAGAAATCAAATAATGAATTGATAATTAAATATAAAATAAGTAATTAATCTTGTAATAATTGTGGATTTTCTAAACACATTTTTAAACAATAAAGGTTGAAATAAGAAGGCTTCTAAATGGAGCTGAACAATGAGGAAAAAATTATATTAAAAGTTATCAGCTACGTTAACAAATGACCAGAAGACCTATCATTTTAAGTTAAAATTTCAGAAACAGATTTTAAACTGCTGTGTTATCAAAACATTTTAAAGAATCATGCGTTTTAGACATGCTTTTTGGACTTGAACCAACCATGTTATGGATATTAGATAGTTCGTAGCTAGTTAGTCTCTGCGATGTCTTTGAACTAATATTTGAAGTCTATGGCTATGTTCAGACTGCAGGGCTTAACGCTCAATTCCGATTTTTTTGTGAAATCTGAAGTTTTTGCGAGGTCGTTCACATTTCCAATTAAATGCGACTTGTATGTGATCCCCTGTGTGAACATTAAACGGCCCAAAAGTGTCCCGCATGTGCACTGGAGACACGACGTCAACCGCAGTGAGCGTCTCTGTGTTTACAGAAGTTGTCCAAACATGGACGCGAGCATTTAGCACCTGGAGATTTTAAAGTTCCTCTCGTACCGGAGCCAGAACATGAACAACTTACTTGTTTTAAAGAGGAGATTGAGAAGGAGAAGGACGAGGTTTTTGGTCGTGGTGTTTTGTGGTTCAGTCCGTTGAAAGGAACGTGTGGATGTGGAGACGGAGCCAAGAGTGGTGAGTGGTGATGTGCTTCACTTCAGTGACACGGAGATCATTAACAATTTTCACCTACATCAGCGCAGAATAGTGACGTTTGTGGCTTGTTGATAATGTGTAGGTGGATGAATGCGCTTTGGCCATTCAGACTGAAGTCACATGTCACAAGATCAGATATGTATTGGTTTCAGGAGCACATATCCAAGTGGCCTGGGTCGCATTTGAAAAAATCGGATCTGTCATTAAAAGATCGGATACAGGTCACATAGAAGCCAAAAAATCGGATTTGGGTCACTTGAGGCTGCAGTCTGAACGCAGCCTATGAGGAAAATGTGAGTGGAATTTTACTTCCGGAACAGGAGCTGACTTCGAAGTGTGTGAATATTTACAAAACAGGTATATTACTGACGAAAATCCAAAATAGTTTAGTATTTATTAGTAATGTCATTGTCTGTTTTCATAAGGTCTTTTTGTATGTGTTTTAGAGTATCTGTCGTTCAGATAATGATTATGTTTTTTATAATTTCTGTAGTTGGCTAGTGACAATAAAATAAAAAAAAAAACAAGGAATCAAGGTCCATTTGAGCCACCCTTACTTGTTGACACTGGACAGTTTCACCACAACTCTTGTTTTGAAGGGAGAATTTTTGTTTGAATGGAAAAAGCAGAAGTAAAACTGGATATCTCCTGTGTGTCAGAGGAGGGGGAGGGGGCTGTAATGATCACTACATTTACATAAAACCAGTAGAAGGACAAAGTACAAAAGAGAACTGTTTTGTTGTCATGATACTGAAACTAGAAACTTAATTTCTAATACTGAGGAATACACTCAATACTGATACTGACACCATCACATTCTGTTTTCTTTAGAAAGCAGTGGGTGTGTACCGGTGGTGGGTAAAACAGGAGTTGATCAGCAAAATGGCTTCTTGAAAATAAACAATTAAATATGACTTAAACATGCATGAATCACTCCAAATACAACTTCAGGTGAGAAATGGCGTGGGGTTAAGAACTCTGAAAAGTTGATTTTGCAATGTAGTCCTGCTTTAAAGGGCCTAATCTATTGTATAAGCAGCTCTTGCATGCTGTGCACATCTAATTATAAAGCGTTTTATTGTTTAAGAATCAGGAAAAGGATTAGAATGCACATGGTAAGTGGGAAATAACTCCACTGCAAACCATTTAAAATGTAGTTTTCATGTGTTTTTCACATTTTTAATCAGTGTCGGGGAGTAACAGATTACATGTACTGGAGTTACGTAATCAGAGTACAAATTGTGAGTAACTGTATTCATTTACAGTTACTGTTTTAGTGAGTGGTAATTGGATTACAATAAATGGATTACATGGTGGTATTTTCCTGTTTTCACATTTTGGGCTATATCCCATTTATTTTTCTTTTTTATTTCTGTAATTCCACTCATTGCTGGAAAGCCACACAGAACACACGCAATAAGAGCGATGTAAACGTCGTGGACGAGGTCGAAGAGCCAGTAGAACAGAGTCAGCAGGGCACGGGCAAAAACGCATTTGTGTCTTGGAAATTCAGACATCACTTTGTATTTAAAGAAGAGAGGGATGGGTGTTTGGTAGGCGTGGTACACGTGGGTACGCCGACCACCCACTTCTCCTGACATGAGATATAAAAAATAACAAATATCAAATCGCCTACAAGTTTAATGCTAAACCGGAGCTATTGGCAATGATGAAAACAACCTACATCCACTCATGATATCTGCACTACTGTGCTATAGTGACCTGACACATGAGGGGACACGCACACAAACGCACACAAACGCACACAAACACACCTAAACACACACAAACACACCTAAACACACACAAACACACCTAAACACACCTAAACACACCAAACACACAAACACACACAAACACACACAAACACACACAAACACACACAAACACACACACACCTAAACACACCTAAACACACCTAAACACACCTAAACACACCTAAACACACCTAAACACAAACAAACACACAAACACACACAAACACACACAAACAACACACACAAACACACACAAACACACACAAACACACACAAACACACACAAACACACACAAACACACACAAACACACACAAACACACACACACAAACACACACAAACACACCTTCATCATCTTCATCAACCTGAGAACGAACTGACCACGTCTCCTTCCGTACTGCGCGGACACCACTGTGCTCCCGTGCGCCTCTAAACCAGGACTAAAACCAGGACTAAAACCAGGACTAAAACCAGGACTAAAACCAGGACTAAAACCAGGACTAAAACCAGGACTAAACCAGGACTAAACCAGGACTAAACCAGGACTAAACCAGGACTAAACCAGGACTAAACCAGGACTAAACCATCTGACACTAACAGTAGGTGGACATAATTTAAGGCAGCAGTGATCTCATATAAAAATCATTTCTCTATCAATAATATTTTTTTAATATGGTTAAGGAAAGACTGGCCTTTTATTTTCTTTTAGCAGACAAAACATCTGATATTAAGATATCCTCGTCTTCTCTACAGAAAACAAAAGTCTGTTCATGGAGACTTGGGCTCAACAGACAATTTGAAGAAAACAAACATGAATTTTCAGGATGTGGTTGATACATTCATGTAGTTTTAAAAAGCATGACAATATCAAGTAATCCAAAGTATTCAGATTACGTTACTCACTTTAAGTAATTTAATGGATTACGGTACAGACTACATTTTGGGGTATGTAATCTGTCATTTGTAGGGGAAAACATTTTAAAAGTTTTTAATACATAAAAAATCAGATACACGTCTCTATTCAGCCATATCTATCTTTGTCTGTCCATCTGTCATTAATCTGAAAATCCGTTAATCTGTGTTTTGTCTTTTTGTGTTTCCAGACTCAAATGCAGTTTTCAGTTTGAGGAGCGGCCATCTTTAATCCAAAATGATCCCTGTCTTCTACACGTCTCCTCCTCCTCCTGTCGCTGCTCCTCTTTGTCTGCTAATATCCAAATAACCTAGATCTTTCCTGGACACCTGCCTGACCTGTTCATATCATGCTTCTATGACACACGGCCCCTCCCATATCCCGCTCCTTTTTTCCTCAAGCAACATATCGTTTTCCATCCAAACATCCTCCATCCTTTATTTTCAGTTTTGGTGTCACGTATCAGACAACACCCAGGAATTCCTTAGTAAATTATATACGTAGATTTATACATTAGAATTTTCATAAAATTATCTTAGCACAGGAAATGGACTACAGTATATGATAATTACACATTTTGGCAAAGCATTAGTCAAGGACTCAACCAGGACTCTAAAGGTTCTAAAGAGTTTTTTAAGCACACAATTGAAGCACTCTCACACGATAGTTAATACGTGGTTATTAATATCGACTTTCTGCAAAAATGGGTCCTGTTTAGTCAGTTAAAGTCATTTTTTAGTGCAAACCCCCAACACTAAATGCCTATAATCTTAACGTCGCCATTGGAGAACCTGCCTGTGCCCCGCCCGCCCCTCCCCTCCCTGTGCCATGATCCGAAAGCGCTCCATGATCCTGTTTGGGACGTTCCTCTTCGTCTCCTGGAACGCCGTGCTGGTGCTGCTGCTCTGGAATCGGGACCCGGTGCCGCAGATTGAGAACGTGCAGCCGAACGAGGACGTACCCGCCAACGATGTCATCCAAGACGTACTCAAGATGGCCGACGCTTTCGAGGCCGAGCTGGAGAGACAGAAGGACATCCTCCTCCAAATCAAAGACCAAAAACTGGTAAAGCACTCTCACTCACAGCAACAAGATTCAGATTTAGATTAAAGGGGAGTTACTTTTAAATTTGTAATCTTTTAATTAAATTGTACTTCTTGGTAGGGTTGTCAAAAATATCAAAAATCTGATACTAACTGATGCTAAATTAGTATCATTTAGTATCATTTACTCTTTTAAGCAGAAAAAGTTACCTAACTGGATAAAATATGACCTTTCCTGAACAGTTTCATTTTGAGTTCAATCAGATGTGGTGTAATAAACAAAAATATTTAGTATTTAAAATTACATTCTGTCTAAAAATGATCTTTTTAAAATGATCATTTGAGGATCAAAATTGATATTGAGTATCAAATCTATTCTTCAGTATCGAAATAGAGTATTTTGTATTTTTGTTTTGTGACAGCACTACTTCCTGGAGCTTCAGGACACCTTTCTTTTAGACCAACTTGAGTAATATATTGTACAGTGTAAGAGTACTTTTACTTAAGTTTAGTTACTCTCTGTGAGTAAGTCTTCAAAGAGAGATTGATCGATATTTTGATTAGCTGATATATTGAGAAGATATTTGCACTTTTTAGAGCAGTGTCTATTGGCTTTAAATATTCAGCACAGGATGATCTTTAGTTTTAGCTGACCTGCTGCGCAAAGAAAATGCATAAAGTTTAATTTGAACATTTAAATGCAAAGAGACAACAGCTGAAAATGTAACTCCACCGTTCTCCTTTATGTTTGTGCTAAAAAAAAAGGTTCTGGGTGAGTTTGTAGTCAGTTGAAATTTGGGCAAAATAATCCAAATTGGCCCTACATAATGGCCCAAAAATATCTCTTACCTTCCATCAGTTTGTCTAGATTCTAAACAATCTGGATCCACAGCTGCCATGTTCCGACAGTTACTCTTTAACTTACTCTTACTTAGTAGTAAGTAGTAGTCATTTCCCCAAATACTTTTTACTGAGACACAGATGGACGAATCTCTTATACAAAACACATGTTAGTTTGTCAAAGCAAAATCCATCTGTAAGGTTTACTAAACAAAAGTAAGCCCTTGATTACAGTGTGGTCGTGCTGTGAAAGCAGATGGTGGGAATCATTCTCATCACTGAGACTTTTGACAAGTGCAAACATGTCTGTGGTGTTGACAGAAAAACGGTCACAACACATCGTTTTAAACACGAGCATACATAATTACATGAATAAATAGGTGTGGTTCAGGGGACAGGTATGTGAAACCGTTACTGCTGTCACATGAGTCTAATTTGAAGCAACTTGTGATCAGAAATAAGCATGGGGCTTTAATTGACCAATCCTACAAGTTTGACTGTTTTTAAATCTTATTTGCATGTGCCCAGAATTGTAAGAAGATGCAAATGAACTCGTAGTTAACTAATAGTAAATTTACTGTCCCCAGCTCAGTCTAACACTACAGGGATGTAGAATGGGAGGGCATCTGGCACACAGGGATATAGATCGAGAATGGGAGGGCGTCTGTTCTGACACACAGGGATTTCCATTGCTTTCACAATGATGAAAAATGAAAATTAACAATTTAAAATCAAATATTTCATCTTTTAAATGGTGCCAATATTGTTGACAATAAGCAAGAAGCTGAAACCAGTGAATATGAGGATGGGAGGGCTGTGTGGCCCTGTGTGTCAGATACACACAGGGATACGGGAGGATGACAGGGCATCTGACACACCGGCTCACAGATTTCTCCTCTTCAGCATCAGTTGTTCCCGCGGAGATCGTCTAACCACACCCGCCTGGCTCCTCCCACTGCTGCTGCGGTGATCCCTGTCCTGGTGATGGCGTGTAACCGCGTCACCGTGCGCCGCTGTCTGGACAAGCTGCTGCAGTACCGGCCCTCGGAGACGCTCTACCCCATCATCGTCTCACAGGTCTCACAAAAACTACAGTTTACCTCCGGAGTATTTTGGGCTATTTTACTTTTGTGGGATATTATCTGCAAACAAATCACCATGTTACTAATAATTTTTTTTTTGAAAATGCTATTGATCCTCCACTTTGTAGTCACATCATGCCTATGTGCGAGACACTTTTGAAGAGCACTAAATCAACTCACCTGTTGTAGTTTCAACTAAACCTGCTCTAGTCAGATTGTGTTAAAATAAAGCTCAGTGTAATGGGTACTTTTCTGCAGCTAAGTGTAAGGAGGCTTATAAAAGGAGGGTTAAGAGGTAATAAAGAAACAACTTTATAACATGGAAGAAAGCTCCAAAAAGTATTAACATAATATGCCCTTTTTAAATATTGAAGATGCATTGTTATTTGTTTGTAGTACCCTTATTAATCCAGTGTTGATTACTGAAGCATTATGTATTAAGTATTCATCAGTGTCATATTTTTGCTGACTAAAACAAAGTTAAAAGTATTCTAGACTTTATACCAGTAGGTAGAAGATGTGAAACCTGTTCCCCCACTCCTCAGCTGCCCCCCCTCCTCTGTCTTCTCCTGTCATTAGCCTTTGTTCACACTCTCTTGTGCTCTCTGTTCTTCTGTCAGACCTAAGCAGACACACTGTGAGAGTGCACTGCAGTAGTGTAGATAGTATCTAGTGGTGACGATAAGTGAAAAAGCCACAGGGCTGGGTCAGCCAGGCTAATGGTGGATAGGAACTAAAAGTACTAATGTTTGTGTCTAATTACAAAACCTCAGCAACAAGTTTCCACATTTTAATCCCAGTGCCCCAAACCAAACCATAAACCAATGTCCAACACGTCTATATGTCTCATCAAGCATTCACATAAACTTTACTGTCCACCATAGTGGAAGTGTGTCTTTGGTTCACCATCACATGAACACAACAATCAATCATTTAATCAAGCTATTAAATAAAGCTAGTAAATAAATAAGTTAAAATTTTAAAAGAAGGAAGCTATGACATACAACTGATCAGGGATACATAAAAAATCAGGTTGACAAACTATTACAAATGTTCTCAACAAAATTAGATTTGTATCAATTAAAACAAAAAATAATGAGTTGACTGGATCTTGACTAAAACTTTTTAATTAGTCTAAAAACCTTCAACTGTCTTGTCTGAATGACCCCTGCCTCTCAGGACTGCGGCCACCAGGACACTGCAGCTGTGATCCAGAGCTATGGGGATAAAGTGACCCACCTGAAGCAGCCCGACCTCGGGGACCTGCCTGTGCGACCGGAGCATAAGAAGTTCCAGGGATATTACAAGATCTCCAGACACTACCGCTGGGCCCTCAACCAAGTGTTCAGGACCCTGGGGCACACGGCTGTGGTCATAGTGGAGGACGATCTGGAGGTCAGACAAACACAACACAAGACAAGACAACACAACACAATACAAGTTTTCTGTGATTTGGTTAAAATGACATGAAAAATATCTATTGTCAAGATACACACAGGGATACATTTCTCTTTTTCCACATTGAAGCTGAAGTGAAGTCTTTGGTTTTGGAGACCTCTAATGGTAATAGTGACATTGTGTTCCAGAGGCCACTGGGTCTGCAGAAAAACTGATCCAACTTCATACTGAAGGAACTGTCTGTCTATCTATCTATCTATCTATCTATCTTTTTTTTTTTTTTTTTTTAGGTTTTTAAATTCCATAAATTTGGCTCAGCCCCAGATATGACTTAAACATGCACAAATCAAATAGAGCTTTTACATAGAACTATTTAATGTTGATTTATTCTTAATTACAAAAACTTTAGACATGATGCCAAATTGTTTATGTTATAATTTGGTGTTTTAGTTCAAGACAATTATCCAATCAGAAAACAGAATGAGCCTCACACGAGTCTCTCATTTGGGTTGCCAGTTTCCATGCTGAAATCCAGTTGGTTTAACCTGAAAATGTCTCTGATCTGAATATTCTGAACTGAAAGAGTGCAGGATACAGTTGCTTTAAATACATACTATTTCGATGATTAGCTCATGTGATGTCTTTACAAAGCCATATGGAATATATTTTGAATTAAATGACAGAAATGCATAGATTTTATGATCTAAGATGTCGCTGTATCTGTCTGACTTGCTGTCTTTAAGTTTTAGATACAGTGCATGTTTAACACTTTTATTCTGTCTTGTGCGTGTCTGTCCACCAGGTGGCTCCAGACTTCTTCGAGTACTTCCGTGCACTCCACCCGTTGCTCCGGTCTGACCCCAGCCTGTGGTGCGTCTCTGCCTGGAACGATAACGGGCGCGAGGGTTTCGTGGACCCGGGGAAGTCCAGCCTGCTCTACCGCACAGACTTCTTCCCCGGTCTGGGCTGGATGTTGGTGAAGGAGCTGTGGGACGAGCTCGAGCCGAAATGGCCGACGGCGTTTTGGGACGACTGGATGCGCCAACCGGAACAACGCAAAGACCGCGCCTGCATCCGCCCCGAAATCTCACGGACCATAACATTCGGACGTCAGGGAGTTAGCCTGGGACAGTTTTTTGACAAATACTTAAAATTCATCAAACTCAACTCTGAATTTGTGCCTTTTACGAAGCTAGACCTGAGTTACTTGAAAGAGGAGACGTATCGAGTAAATTTTGAGAAGGAGGTGTACAGCGCTCCTCTTGTTTCTTATGAGGACGTGAAGCAGGGCAAACTAAACGGACCTGGCCCGTTTAGGCTGCAGTACTCAAGCAAAGACAGTTTCAAAATCATGGCCAAAAACCTGGGAGTCATGGAGGACCTTAAGTCTGGTGTGCCCAGAGCCGGGTACAGGGGCGTGGTCAGCTTCATTTCCAGAGGCCAGAGAATTTATTTAGCACCACCTCCTGGATGGACTCAGTACGACCCCACGTGGAGCTGAGCAGTCCATTTACAGCCTTAGTAAAGGTCCTCTATTAGACTAAAATGACTCTTTTGAGCTTTAAGCCATGTTAGAATGTGGTTTCCTCCTCAAAAGCAGACCTGGAGTTGTTTTGTTTCATTCATGTTTGAGTAATCCTTTTGTAACAAGTCTGTGTACATCTCCAAAGCTTAAAATGAGCTGTTCCACCTTGTGATGTCATGTAGTGGTAGTTTTGAAGCTCCTTTTATTTTTAGTTCACTAACAATTCTAACTTATACAAATGATTCTAGTGAAGGTGCACAGAGTTTAAAAGCACAGCGGAGCACTTTCTGTAAGACATCACAAGTGCGGAACATTTGACAGAAGAACTCGGCCTAAATCTGCAGAGGTTGTGTGTGTGGTAAATGTGCGAATGAAACAAAACAAAACACAACTCCAGGTGTGTTTGTGATGAGGAAACAATATTCTAACAAAGATCAGAAAATGGAGTAAAATGGGCCCTTTATGTGAAAGAGGCGGAGCAGACCAAAGAAGGACTCGAGACGCGAGAAACAGTAAAGTGTTTCTTTGCAACAGCGAAGTCAGGACATTATTGTTATGGATCGATAGCTTCTTTTTAAGATGTACTTTATTGCGGGGTTGTTCCGATACCAACGCGGGCATCGGCTTAAGCTTTGATACTGCAGTTTTGAGTTAATCATATTGGGGAAAAATATTGATGTTTTTTTTTTTCAGAGACACGTTGCAACTGGATTTGCGCTGTACTGTTTAATACTATGATTCTGCGCAAAGTTCACATTTTAAACACATCCAGGAGAATTGACAAAAAGATCTAAACTACAGGGTTAGCAATTTTAAACGAGACATCTCTCTAAAACAAGAGATTTTATTTTTTGTGGAGGAAATGATGCTACCGTATTTTCCGCACTATTAGGCGCTCTGGATTATAAGTCATTAAATGGTCTATTTTTGAACTTTTTTCACAAATAAACCGCATGGGACTTTAAAGGAAACCCAGCAGTTGGATGGGTGAGTGGGACTTTGTTTGTGGCGTTCACGGTGACTCTGGGCTTTGTTCAGTTGTGGCGTGTAGGGAGGGTGCTGTCTGGGAACGCTTAATTGTCGGCGTGTTCAGTTGTGTCTAGAAGTGGCACATTGGACTCGCTTTTTCGGTTTGTTCCTCGTCGGCGTGGAGTGATGAGTGTGTCTGTGGGTGTTTTTCGATGCACGGTCGCTGTCTGCTCCGTGTGTGTTGCGTGCGCTGTGGGTGGTGCGGCTTTGTAGTTTACTGAAGTCGTGCTGGGACACCCGAGTGGATTTGTGTACAGGGCGCTCTGGATTGTGGCGCGTGGTCGGTTTTTGATGGTGTTGGAGGCTTAAGAGCGTGTCTAATAGCCCGGAAAATACGGTACTTCAAAATGCAAAATCCAAAATAAACCTGGCATCGGAACAACCCTACTTTTTTTTTTTTTATTATTTGTCCTCTTCATTTGACCAATCCTCCAACGTCTCTTGGGTCAAATGCAGGGACAGCCGTGTGTTGCATCTCCAGAAGTTGGTCTAGTCTCGGTCAGGACTACCCTACTGGATGATAAGAATATTGTGCGTGTTTTCATTCGATGGAAACACCTTGAAAACTTTGAAAAATCCACCCAGACACGGGGAGAACGCGCTAACTCAGTCCTGGGATCCGAACCCGGGACCTTCTTGCTACGAGGCAGGAACGCTAACCACTCAACCGCCGTGCTGATCCATATTCTTAACAATGTATTTTTTTAATGTAGTAATTCCTCTGACGTTAAACCACGAAAACGCAGTGCCAACGTGAGATCAGACGTGATTTCAGTTCATTCATCGAAGAGTGAAAAAGTCCAAACGTGTAGTGGACTTTTGCGTCTCGGGAGAACAGAATGTCCATTTTAGTTACTTGTTAAATGCAGAAGATCACTTTATAATTAGTTTTTCAGAATCCATTTTGTGCCTTTTATTAACATTGAGTCCACGTCACATGAGTGCAAGACCGACCAAAACTAGGACGCCACTTTGTCGACTTTTAAGCCTGAAAGGAAAAACAGACTGTTAGACATGACCAGTCAAAAGTTTGGACACGCCCTCTTAATGTTTCTTTTCTTTGTTTGCTATTAGGGATGGGAAAGGACACAATTTCCACAAGATGAGACGAGACGAGGGAGGTCTGTGTAACATTCGTTCTTTTGAATTTCAATGAAGAATGAAAATCAGTAAAATGGGAAAGCGGTTTTATTTTATGTTTCCGTCTTAGTGTTTAAAAAAAAAAAGGTATATTTCAAATGACACCAATCAAAAAGCTCTCGGTGTTCATTTTAATGTTGACATTTTATTCTCTCTGGTTTATTTGCCCTGGAAGTTCTGCCACGTGTGAATTCAGTGTGTCAACTGAACGAAGGAGAGATTATCCCTCCTACTTGTTTCTTGTCATGGAGTTCAACAATAACTTCCTAAGACGCAAAAGTAAACACGTCGCTATTAAAGAAGAGGACGTGTTTGTCTTCAAAATTGCAACGATTTTTTAGGTAAGTCCTTCTAGCAGCAGAACTTCCGAGGCAAATAAACCAGAGAGAATAAAGTAAATCAAAATTGAAATAGGCTCAATTACTGTTTTTTGATTGGTGTTATTTGAAATACATTTTAAATTAAATATTGGAAATAGTTTTTTTTTACACTAAAACAGAATAATGAAATAACAAACTGTTTTCCCATTTTATTGTTTTTCATTCTTAATTGAAATTCAAAAGAACAAATGGTACACAGACCAAGATATGAGATTTTAACATAATTCTTAATATATAAATTTCACAATTCACTTTCCAGTTTTGGCCTCACAATTTTTATTTTTTCGATTTCATATTTTTGTTACCATTCTAGTCCATGTTTTGGAACCGTAAAAGGTGTAGCTCTCCAATACTTAACCCGTTTTTGTCCAATCCAGACATAAACATTTGGAAAAAAATCTCAGATCATTTTTCTCACGCTTGCACGATCTTGTGGTACTTTTGTCTCGCGGGATCTTGTGGCACAAGATCTTGTCCCATCCCTATTTACTACGTTACATTTTAGATACTGAAGACATCAAATATATGAAGCACAAGATAAATAGAACTGTGTTTTAAAGAAAGAGTGAATTAACTAAATCAAATATTTTTTATGCTTTACTTTCAAATCCTCACGGTGTCCACCCTTTGCTTTGTTGACAGCACTGCCAATCCTTCGCCTTTTTATTTTCAGTTTATTTTAGTATTGTCTTGGTTTAATACACTCCATTCATACTTTTGATGCTTCAGTAAGAATCTACAATGTAAGTAACTATGAAAATGAAAACGGAACATTAACGAATCAGTGTGTCCAAATGTTTCGACTGGTAATGTACGTATACGCTCATTTACAAAACTTTTGACAGTTTAAAAGATTAAAACTGCAAATGAGTTTACATCACCAAAATCCCTTAGATCTGCCATGACAAATTGAAACATCAGGTTAAAACAAACAAAAAAACATTGTAATTTTAATGAAAAGCTCAAAGTTAATGAAGCTCAGTGCCAAATAGTGAAAGTTAGAATAATTAAAGTGTATTAATGATTTCAAAAGCCTGATATAATGCTGGGACATTACCAGATACACAAGAATTTAAGTGCCTTGCAGGATGACACCATACAGCTTACTACCATTTAACTTGGTTTTGATATTTTCTTATTAAAAACGCTATATTAGTGGTTTAAAGGGTGGATCACGGTAGTAATAATAATAAAGTAATTACTTAGATGTAATTAGTTGTTGTAATTTTAAAACTGGAAATTTAATAATCAAAGCCTGAATGAAGAATAATATTGTTTAAATGTGTCAATGCTGGAAATGTAGTGTGTTCAAATGGTTCTCAGGTCTTTTTTCATGTTCCAAATAGAAAACTATCTATGTCGAACTAAGGGTGCGTTTACAATGGCAACACAATGTATACAATTTGGACTAAACTGTGACTAAACCTGGACTTTAAAGGAGCTGTACCTGATTTTTATGGTTTAAAATAAAGCGTGAAAAAGCAGAAGAAGCAGAATTAGTTTTGCAGTGTTATTCCAAAGTTATTCCTCACTTACCTCATGCATTCAGAGCACATTTATTAGTCACCATGATGAGTTTATAAGAGAGCGAGACCGGAATGGAGATTGTTTTTTTTGTTGTCATGGTAAAGCTAGCAACAACAAGCAGTATCTGACAATAAACGGTTTATATTTAGATGCTGACAGTACACAGAGGAACACACTTCAATCCACGGGGAAAAGTCGGGTACAGGGCCTTTCATTCTGGTCTAGACTAGGACTAAACCAGGTCAACACCACGACTAAACCACGATCGAACCAGGACTAGTGTGAACCACCCTTCGTCTGTATGGCCTGAACAGTTTGTGAGAGAAAACTGCTGTACATTCAGATTTCTATTTTTATACAAAGTGTAAAAGTGCACATGGCATCATCGACATGTTCAACGCAATGAGCTGACTATAAGCCACTTTTCTGCGCACGCCTGTGGTCTTGTATGTGTGTGTGTATGTTTGCGTGTGTGTGTGTGTGTGGTAAGAGCTGGAGGAGGTGACTGGGGAGAGGGAGGTCGATACATCCCTCCCATAGACTGCCTATGTAAATGTAACTCTCTCTGTAACTGCTGCTGTGAACCTCATCATTTTGGTCTTAAAATGTTCGTATTAACCCACTCTACGTGATCCTGGGGTTTTTATTTTGCTATTTATCTGTAAAAAAAATTGCCCCATATTCTCCCCTATAACAGCAGGCCTCAATGAGCTTCATTTGACTGGAGCTGGACGCTATGGATGACGTCACACTCCCTTAGTCCAATTCTGTATACAGTCTATGGTCCCTCCTCACACTGCTGGATTAAAGTGCATATGACAGGTTAGAGTCAGACTATGTATTCCATAAAGGATATGCAAATATAAACTCAAAATTTTGCTTCGATAACAGTTTTGATGAAGTTTAAATTGTATCTAATTGTAGTTATAATTAGACCAATACAAATAAATGACAACACCATATTTTTTTAAGTAAAGGTGCATAAATTGTCCCTGCGTTTTGGATAGAATTGATGTATAAATATGATTCGTTTTTACCACAGGTACTGTCCGACCAAACTAATATTTCGAAAAACATGAAAATCTGTCGTATGCACTTTAAAGGTCCTATATTATGCATTTATGTTAGTTTTAATGTTTTCTGATCTCAAACATACCTGGAGTGGTGTTTTGTTTCTTTTTTTTTTTTTTTTTTTTTGGTTCACCCCACCTCATGACATCATCAGGTAGTACTCCAGAAGTGCTCCTCCACATTCATGTACTTTCAGCAGACTCATGCTGACTTTAAATGACCTTTACCACACAGTTCATAAACTTTGACGATACAAAATCCTGCACCCTAAATACGTATTTCCTTCACACAATCATTCATTATTCTCTTATATTTTCATTATTTTAAGTTACAACATGAAACAACTTGGTGTGAGTTCTCCAACTGCCTGAATAATGCATAATATAGAGCCTTTTAATAATGGTACTGCTTCTTTCAAGTACATGTTGGGCAATTCATATTGTTTTCAAGTGTGGAATCCATCATTTTGAATCTTATCATTTTTTGCTGATTCATTTATTCATTTACAAAAGACCTGACAGTGCTTGAAAGAGGGTCATTGCTAGAGGAGGTGTCTGGGGAGTGGGAAGTCTTTGTGAACTGGATGGATGTTTGATGACCACAGAAGAAGTCCACTCTTGATTCTTGTTTTGCTTTCTGTAAATCGAAGCTTCCAGGTTTAATTTGAAATCGTGTGTAAAAAGTATTGCACATTACAACATTTGTGTTCCTATATTTTTGAAATAAACACACAATGTTATCCTTACGTGTCTAATAGTTTTTGTTCTTGGAGGGCCTTGCTCTGTTTGCTACCCTGATTGCAACAAAATTATATTAAGCAGTTGTTTTTATTTCAATGAAACATGAAGAGTACATTTTAACAATATCACTTTTTAATTTGGTCCATTTTGGTCCTATTCTTGTTCAGTATACACTATAGTATACAGTATAATACTTGTCTCCATGGAGATGCTTTACTAGACTGCTCCACGTTAAAAGTATTTCCATGGAGATAAGCAGATGATATCACTAGGCCAAGGTACAGGTCAGATCTGAGGAGAGGTGAGCCCACTCACAGTAAGAATATATGCATAATTTAGCACTGAAACCCTACAACTAAAAAAAGATGGATTATTTTTATGCTGTGCAGTGGAACAACTCAGGCAACCCTTATCTCCATGTAGAAAAGCAAGAAACATACCCACCCACCTCCTTTAAAACTTTATTGATCCACAAGGAAAATCATACAACATCTTAAACGACTACTATCTGAAAGCACTAGTAACTAGAACTCTAATAATTCTAATAAAATAAGCACATATTAAGAAAAATAGTACTGTAAGGTAAAATTAAAGATTTTTTTTTTTTTCAGTCGCAGGTATATTCTGACATTATTCCACAGACAGTCATATTTAACATACACAGACCAAAAAGGTGTAGGCTGAAGCTTGAGTTTATTACGCCAACCCTTGAGTCCTTTGTCATAGCATCATCTTGACACCAGTTCAAGAGGAAACAAACAAATCAGTAACAGTACAACAAAATGCTACAGCACAAACTAAGTATCATAATTCATGTATCTGTCCAGAGTTAATAAACATTTAAACTTATTTTTAAAATGGAAAAAAGCGGTTTTAAATATTCAACTCACACATTGCACCAGACTATAAAGGGACAGATAATACTCCCTATATCTGTACAACAACTCACCCACTGCACCAGACTAGAGGGACAGGGGAGCTCATTCTCCAACACACTCCTGCAGCTCTTAAACAGTGAGGTACAGGACTACATTCTTACTATAATGCTCCCTACAACTGTACAACTCACCCTTATGTAACACATAATACTCCCTACAACTGTACAACAACTCACCCTTACGCAACAGATAATACTCCCTACAACTTGTACAACAACTCACCTTTATGTAACGCACAATACTCCCTACAACTGTACAGCTCACCCTTATGTAACAGATAATACTCCCTATAACTGTACAACAACTCACCCTCATGTAACAGATAATACTCCCTACAACTGAACAACAACTCACTCTTATGTAACATAATACTTCCTACAACTGTACAATAACTCACCCTTATGTAACAGATAATACACCCTACAACTGTACAACAACCACCCTTATGTAACAGATAATACTCCCTACAACTGCACAACAACTCACCCTTATGTAACAGATAATACTCCCTACAACTTGTACAACAAGTAATTTTATATTTTATTACTTATTTTTCTATTTTATTTTGACTTGTTCATATACATTTATTATTTGACACCTGCCTCTTGCTCTTTTTGCTACTTATTTAGAATATATTATTACCATTTATATATTTTACTCTTTGTTATTATATTATATTGTGACGTGTGAGCTACTCTGTCCAAATCATTTCCCTTGTGGATCAATAAAGTTTGTCTAAGTCTAAGTCAATGAATACAAATACATAACTCAATATTTTGTGTAAATGATGTGTACCATAAATGGTTAAGCTATTTTAAATAAGCCTTATTTGTATATTATTATTTTTTACGGCAGATGAGACGGTCCAAAAGCAGTTCGCGTTCCGTCTGAACCCTCTGCACTTTCTGTTTACTTCATTCGCAAAAATGTTGTGACTGAAGCAGTGAGCTAGCCTAGCCTGGCTAACTCAAAATATGAAGAATTCAGGGGACACGCACCGAAAAGGACATTATGATGGACCGAGGACAAATGGACTTTTATTAAACTATTATTACGTTCATTTAATATCGAAATCGCACTCTGGATTTGATCAATAAGAGCTAATTTGCGTTTCTATTAGCATGCTAGGCTAGGCTAATATTGATATTTTTGGCTCAAATTTAAATAATCCTAGCGCTGATTTTTTCTTCTTCTTGCTTTTATTGAAGCGTTTTAGTCCTGGCTAACCGGGAACTGCTTTGGAAGATTTTTATCCAGTTTTCAGTAGTTTTTAGATAACGTTGTGTTCAGGCCGCGGATGGAGCCGGGGAACCAGCGTGAGAGCCCGGCCGGGTCAGGGGAGTCTGACACCGGGGAGTGGAGGGAAGCGAGCCCCGTGGGAGACCCGGAGGAGGGGAAAGGGGCAGAAACCGGTGAAGCCTCAACAGAAGCGGGGTTAAAAGAGGAGGATGACAGCTCCACAGTCAAGAGTCCCGGGGAGAGAGTGCAAAGCCCGTACGAGGAGGAGCTGGACCCGAGGATACAGGTTTGACCCCGGCATTCCTTCACTCTGCTCGGCTTACATGTGCACCTGCCCCCGGTCTCTGGGTCTGGGGGAGACGGGGGACACTTTTAACTAAAACAACATTTTAACTAAATAAAAATAACATAGTGTGACCAGACGTCCCTATTTACCCGGGACAGTCTCAATTTTGAGCCCCGTGTCCCCTATCCCAGTAGATTTATCCAAAGCCACAAATTTGTCCCAGTTTTATACAAAAAAATGTCCCAGATGTCCCCATTTTTAACCGATTTGATACCTGCCAACAGTAAAGAGAGGCATACGTTGTCGTTTGTTTAGATAAAATACAGAAAAGTTGCTTAAAAATGACCGAAACATAAAGAAAATGTGACTATACTGACTCACATGTTAGTCATGAATAGGCTGAGTCCATAACGATTTTCCGTAATTACTACGGTGACCAGACATCCCTGTTTACTCGGGACAGTCCCAATTTTGAACCCTGTATCCCCTGTCCCAGCAGATTTATCCAAAACAATTGATTTGTCACAGTTTTATCCAAAAAATGGCCCAGGTGTCCCTATTTTTAACTGATTTGATTCCCGCCAACAGTAAAGAGCGGCATACATTGTCATTTGTTTAGGTAAAACACAGAAAAGCTGCTTAAAAATGACCAAAGCACACAAAAAATGTGACTATACTGACTCATATGTTAGACTTGAATGTGCTGAGTGCAGAACAGTTTTCCTTAATTACACAATTTTCACAATTTTATTATTACCAACCACCACAAACTGAGGTTGTTCCAGTTTTGGTCACCCTAAAATAGCATTAAATTAATACCACATTTGAATTAATATGCAAGATTGTGTTTAAATAGCTATTAGTACAGTAAATCAGTCAAGTGCCCCGCCCCCTTTCTGTGCTATCAGAGCAGTAAATGACTGATGGTAATGCAGCACTACTGGTTGAACTATCGTAAATAAGGCCAGTAAGTGTTTAACATTGTGACAGTGGGTGTAAAGCGAATGTACTTGCTTACTTCCTCCTACATTATGCAAAATTGACTCTTGGGAGCTTTAAGCCAGGTTAGAATGTTACCTTATCAAAAAATACAATTGTGTTTTGTTTCATTCAAACATGTTTGAGTAACCCTTTATTATTAGTCTGTCTACATCTTCAAAACTCAAAGTGCTCTGTTCCAAGGCTTATACCATCCAAATTATTTTACTAAACGTGTATGGAGATAAAAACCACAGTGGTATCATAAGGTGGACCACAGTGTTTTCTATTTGAGTGAAAAACTGAAGCCTAAATATGCAGGGTTTGTCTGTTAAACATGTGTGAATGAAACAAAACACAAATCCAGGTATGTTTTTTTTTTTTTTTAGAGAGTAACAGCTTAAAAAACATAAAAGATCAAAAAATAGCATCATCTAGTTCCTTTAAAATGTTGATGGCCAAATACATCACAGAAACACTATGCAGTTTCTGCACAAATTCTGTTATTTTGTCTACATTCTTTATCGGTTAGAGTTTATCATGTGATTGCTCTGCAACTTTAAAACTACTTTCTTTTTGTTGTATCTATTGTTATCAGAACAAACTGTACAACCTACCCAAGCAAAAAGTACAATGACTGCTATGCACCCACTGGCAGTGTAATCTTAACCTAATGTTTGCACAGTCTCAGTAAGAGAATCCTTCAGCCTGGAGCTGATCCCAGGCACAAGAGGAAAAGTATCTCTGACCATTGCGGTCTTTAAAGGATGGGTCTAACACAACATAATTCTTTAAGTGCATATGGCAGGTAGACTACTCATTTCTCAAACATAGTTAACGTCATTCAATTCAAGATTTTACTAAACATCTTAAATCGTTTTCCTTACGACCTCTTGTATACAACTGATTATGTATTACTTATTTTTCTGTTTTATTATGACTTATACATTTACATTTATATAATTATGCCTTATTTGACTCCAGTCATGTTATTTTTTGGCTACTTATTTAGAATTTATTATTACCATTTACACTTTTTACTCTTTGTCTTTGTTATTATATTATATTGTGATGTGTGAGCTTCTGTGTCCAAGTCATTTCCCTTGTGTCCCTTTCAATAAAGGTTGTCTAAGTCTAAAGCAGCAGATATGACATGTAGAGGTATGTTACATAGCAACCATAATGTTAACTAAATTACACAAAGTTATGCTTAGATTAATACAAATAAAAATAGACAACACCTTGATTTAGATATATCCATGAACTGTCAGAAAAATGTCTTCCTTTTGCATAAATGGACTGTGTTTTGGATGGAGTTGGTGACAGCTGATGACATAAGCAGAGGGATTCTTTTACAGAACCCACTGCTACTTCATGTATTTTCCAACTTTTTGTTTTCTACTTTTCTTCACAAACTGGAAAATTAACACAAATTAGAAAAATAGATGAATCTGTCAAATGCACAACAGTGAATAAATGCAACTATTAAATGCAGTAAGCTTTATTACAAGGACATTTTCCAGTTGAGTCCCCTCTGGAGTGAAGGCCTTTGCAGCTGGGTAATGGGCTGCTGCTTCTGTAACATGATTCTTAAATAAGGTGCAGTGTTCTGTGGACGTGAACACGAGACGCTCTCTACTTTCATTTAGAGAAACAGGAGGGTGGGAGATGAGGCCCAGCTCTCCCTACAAATGACTATTATGAACGTATGAGAAATTACCATGGTTTTTATCCTCAATATTTATCATCGGTTATCTGTAAGACATTTTGAATCACAAAATATTGGTACAGAGAAATACGTCCATAAACGATAATACTGAAACTATTATTAACTTGTGCCACTGACACAGTAACAACAAAGCAAATTAATCCCAGTAAACCATTTTTAGATAGACAATATCATTAAAAGACCAGAGCTGCAACAAATAAAGAGCAGAATGAACCACTAATGAGCGTAGAGGTTACATTTTCAACTCTACAGCTCAAATCTTATCATATTACAAATATCATGATATCGTATCGTCTATATATACAATAATATGGGCCATCACAATATGACAAATTAAATCTCAAATCTCTCTTCTTAAATGAATAGTGCAGAAATATATCTGAAAACCTGAGGTAACTACATAGACCATGATCCTTTGCTCTTTTTCAGTGCAGCCTACATTAAGATATAAATGTTATAAGCACTTAAAAAAAATTAAAAAAATGTAATTATGACAGAACCAAATTCTTGTCAGGCATTTTAAATGGAAAATGTAGCATATTCAGTTTGGTTAACCTCCACAAAATTTCATAATAATAAAGTAATAAAAATATCGAACCGTGAGATGGACGTGTCGTGCCAAGAGATTTGGATATTGTGACATCATTAATTACAATTAAAATAACGAAAATCTGTGTACTTTTTCCAAAGAAAAAGTACACATGTGACACTGACAGCCTTTGCTTTGATTATGTAGAATAACAAAATTCATAAAAAATGTCATGTGTGCATTGTCCCTGATATCAGAATCCAGTTGTCTCATGAAAATGTCACCTTTGCACCACAACACATTAACCTTAATGCAGGTTAATAATATAATAATAAATAAGTATAACTGCAGTTTATATCATGGTACGTATCTCCGTATTTTCTGATTCAACTGTCAAGAAGTGTGTTCTGATGTATTGCTGTATCAATATTATTCTGAGCACAGCCTTATTCTGTAGTACTTTAATATATGACGTCATACTAAATGTACATGTCTTCACTAAAACACTGTGCTTCATTGTGATAGTTTTTTAAGATTTTTAAGATACAGTGACGTTGATTTAGAAATGTAGAAAAGGCTTTGCTTGGATAAGTTAGTTTTGGGTTTTTTGTCAGTGGCATAGAAGAGTCTTCACAGTTTATTTTTTTATCGCAGTGTTTTCCATACATCGTGTTATCATCTATCAGGCCTAAACTAGATGCTCCTGTACTTTGCTATACTTAACCTCCCTGACCCTCTGCTCTCCCCATGCTCCTGTTTCTTTTTAAAGGTCATATATTACACAAAATGAGAGGTTTAAGACATATCAATGCTGTGACCTCATCTAAAACCTACCTGGAGTGGAGTTTTGCTTCAGTCACGCATGTTTGTGTAATCATTTATTATTTGGATGTCCATATGCTCTTGTGATGTCATGAAATGGTGGTTTTCAATTTAACAGCTCCTTTTACCTTTAGTTTAATAGATACTGGGAATTCCAGTGCTGAAGTCACCCTAATGATTTTAGTAAATGTGTATGAAGCAATTCCTGTTTTACCACATGACATTACAAGGTGAAAGTGTTTTTGTGTTTGAGAGAAGAACTCAGCCTAAATATACAGGATTTGTGAGTTAAACATGTTTAAATGACTCCAGGGATGTTTGACAAGGAAACATTTTAACATGGTTCTGTAAATAGTGTAAAATGGGCCCTTTAAGTCTAAATGAGCTGTATTGTTCTGTGTTCTGTGTGTCTAAACTGGAGCTGTTTGTGTGTCAGGATGAGCTGGAGCAGCTGAACGAGGCCAGTGCTGAGATCAACAAACTGGAGCTGCAGCTGGACGTGAGTTTATTTAGGATTAAACTGACGTCACTAAAAGGGAAAAGATGACTTCATTAGACATTATTAAACAGCTATTTTCGGTGTCTGGAAATGCACTGTGTAAGACTCTGTCCTAATGCATTATTGTTATTAATATTGCATCATTCTGCTCTCTCACAGCACCACTGTAGAGCTCATCTGGCACAGCATTTACTACATATCATATACAAACTTATCTTAATAACTCCTGGACCAACTTTTCCCAAAGTATAATTGTTGTTTAGTATGTAGACTGCTGCCTCTGTCACCCAACCCCAGACAAAATGGAAAAAAATGGATGGATATTTTATTTAACCTCATTCTGAGCGTGACAGTAATAATAATAATACTTTTGGTTAGTTTCATATAGCACTTGAAGTCACTTTATATTTTTGTCCATTATTCATTCATCACACATTCTGTGGTGGAAAGCTTCTATTGTGATGTAGACCAAGGCCGAACCATACAACATAAGCTGGATGATGTGTCTTGCCCAAGGGCACAATGGCACTGGTCAGAGCGGAACTCTTACCACTCATCCACTGTATGTTGTATTCTTAAACTGATAAATATACTTTATAATTTATTTTCAATATGACAGATAAGAGACAATGTCCATCCTTTTCCACTAATAACTATACATTATACTGGGTAAAAGTTGTGGTACTGTACTGTGAAAAATGAATGGCTTGTAAAAAACACTTTTTGATGTCAGGATTCTGCTATAGACTCCTCTACCTTCTCCTGTGCTCTGACTCTGCCGCTGAATATTTGATGAGTCTCTGCTGTGATCGATAAGATCCTTGTTTGAGTGAGAGCAGTTCAGATGGAGCCGAGTCTGAAGGCAGGAGACAGTGGTTCAGTCCATTATCACGTTACACTCACTTTAATCTAATCCTCTGTTTCTCCTCCAGGACGCACGCTCCAACTACAGGAAGATCCTCACAGAATCTGCCCGGAAACTCAACGCTCAGAGCTCTCAGCTGGGCTCGTGTATCGAGAAGGCCCGGCCGTACTACGAGGCCCGCAGGCTCGCCAAAGAGGTGCACCACAGCAGTCCTGTCAGAAGAAAAGATACTTTCACCTGGTGTTGATTAAAGAAAAGACAGAAAGAAAAAAAACACACATTCAGAACTAGTAAATTGTGTGACAGGCTCCTTCTGGAATGGTTAAACTGAGATTTATATTTTATGTTGCATATTCCATGAAGCATTTGATCTATTCTTAAAGTTTGAGTTGGCTAGTTTTTTTTTTCTATTGCGTGCAAAAGGCCCTAAGAACAAAGCGCAACAAATACAACTAGAATTACAAACACTATTTATGTCAGGGTAGTGTAGTAGTGGCAGGAGAAAAGCAGACAAATGAGTCCGTACTGAATATCGTGCACATGCAGGAGTAGCTCTGTGCAGGGAACAGTAACATAGACAATCAGAACAAGAAAATGTGGTTTGGTGGGAGCAGGTCACCAGTAGTAGCAGTAAAATAATGGGTTAAAATAAGCATGAGTTACATTTAAAATGTGACTAAAAGTTCAGTACAAGAGCCACAGTAATAAATGTTGCATGTCAAATGAACTGTTTAAACTTGGACTTTTCCATTTATTATTATTTATTTATATGTTCGGGAGTGAGAAACACAATTTTGATTCTTCATATGTTTTGTATGAAGATTTGACAGTAAATTGACTTTTGAACTTTGAACTTAAAGGTCACACTGTATTACACAAAAGTGACAATTGTGAGCTTTAAGCCATGTTATAATATTGTTGCGTCATCAATAACATACACTACCAGTCAAAAGTTTTAGAACACCCTAATATTTCCAGTTATTTATTGCAATTCAAGTCGTGCAAGTCCAATGAAAAGCTTGAAATGGTACAAAAGTAAGAACTGAACAGACAGAGGTTTAAAAACAAGATAAAAAATACAAAACACAAGTCCAAGCTCTGCCAAAACTACCTCAGGAAAAAAGAACAAGATGGTAAAGCGTGAAAACCTGGAGTGTCTAGCAGCACAGTGTCCAGACTTAAACCCCATCGAGGTGGTTTGAGATGAACTGGACAGAAGAGTGAAGCAACTACAAGTGCCACACATTTATGGAAACTTCTGCAACAGACTTGGAAGAACTTTCTGAACAATATTTGATTTCTGTTGTAAAAAGAACGAGCCACGAGTGTGTTCAGCTGTTATATCTGACAAAGATGGACACACACATCAATCAAAAGTTTAGAATATGTTTTGGTCAACACAGTAAACAATAAAAAACTGGAAAAAGTGTGGTGTTCCAAAACTTTAGACCGGTAGTGTAACTGGAGCTGTGTTTTGTTTCATTCACATGTTTCAGTAAGCCTTTATTGTTAATCTGTCTACATCTCCAAAGCTCAAAATACTCTGTTCCACCTTGTGATGTTATGAAGTGATGTTTTTCAAGTTAACAGCTCCTTTTACCTTTAGTTCAGTAGAGAAATAGCAACCCCAGAGCTGAAATTATGTAAATGAGTCTAGTGTAAGTGTATAGAGCTTCAAAACACAGTGGAGTACTTTTTCTGTTACCACATGACATCACAAGAAGAACTCAGTCTAAATAGTTTTGTGTTAAACGTGTGAATGAATGAAAACACAGCTCCAGATCTGTTTGTGATGAGGAAACATTATAATATAGGTCAGAAATTACAGTTATACAGGCCCTTTAATGATAACTTTGGGTTAGCCTTTAATATACAGCCCCTGTTTTTTTTATTTTATTAAACACTGCTGCCTGTTGATGTGCAAGGTTTAGACAAGCAGCTTATACTTAGACTTTTAGGCATTGTTCTCTCACTCCAGCAGCAGATCGTTTTAAAGTGAAATGAGTTCCAGTCTTGTGCCTATAACCTGCTGTATATTCAGTGCTCCTCTCCCTCCTCAGGCACAGCAGGAGACCCAGAAGGCAGCTCTGCGTTTTGAGCGAGCCGTGTCCATGCACACGGCGGCGCGGGAGATGGTTTATGTGGCCGAACAGGGTCTGATGGCCGACGGGAAGAACACGCTGGACCCAACCTGGCAGGAGATGCTCAACCACGCCACGGGCAAGGTACGGAAACAATGATTCAAAAACGGAATACATAAATATGTCAACTAAGTAAACTAGAGCCAATCCAAAGAGCAAAAATCATAGAATATCAATAAATAAAAACCAATAAAACAAAGTACTGTATTTTCCGGGCTATTAGGTGCGCTCTTAAGCCTCCAACCCCATCAAAAAACGACCGCACGCCCTGCAGTCCAGAGCGCCCTATACATGAATCCACTCGGGTGTCAAAACACGACTTCAGTAAACTACAAAGCCGCACCACCCTCAGAACACACAAACACACACGGAGCAGACAGCGACCGCGCAGTGAAAAACACCTGCAGCCACACTCATCACTCCATGCCGACGAGGAACAGGCAATGTGCCACTTCTAGACACAACTGAACAACTGAGTCACTGCAAACACGCCGACAATCCGTTGGTCCCAGACAGCCCCCTCCCTACACGCCACAACTGAACAAAGCCCAGAGTCACCGTGAATGCGCCAAACAAAATCCCACTGACACATCACACTCCATCCATCCATCCATTTTCGTCCGCTTATCCGGGGCCGGGTCGCGGGGGGAGCAGCCTAAGCAGGGACTCCCAGACTTCCTTCACCCCAGACACGTCCTCCAGCTCCTCCGGGGGGACCCCGAGGCGTTCCAGGCCAGCCGAGAGACATAGTCCCTCCAGCGTGTCCTGGGTCTTCCCCGGGCCTCCTCCCGGCGGGACATGCCCGGAACACCTCCCGAGGGAGGCGCCCAGGAGGCATCCGGAACAGATGCCCGAGCCACCTCAACTGGCTCCTCTCGACGTGGAGGAGCAGCGGCTCTACTCCGAGCTCCTCCCCGTGTGACTGAGCTCCTCACCCTATCTCTAAGGGAGCGCCCAGCCACCCTGCGGAGAAACTCATTTCGAGCGCTTGTATCCGCGATCTCGTCCTTTCGGTCACTACCCAGAGCTCATGACCATAGGTGAGAGTAGGAACGAAGACTGACCGGTAAATCGAGAGCTTCGCCTTTCGGCTCAGCTCCCTCTTCACCACAACGGTCCGATACAGCGACCGCATCACTGCCGAAGCTGCACCGATCCGCCTGTCAATCTCACGTTCCGTCCTTCCCTCACTCGTGAACAAGACCCCGAGATACTTGAACTCCTCCACTTGAGGCAAAGACTCCCCACCCACCCGGAGAGGGCAAGCCACCTTTTTCCGGTCGAGAACCATGGCCTCGGACTTGGAAGAGCTGATCTTCATCCCAGCCGCTTCACACTCGGCTGCAAACCGCCCCAGTGCACATTGCAGGTCATGGTTCGATGGACAACATCGTCCGCAAACAGCAGAGATGAAATCCTGTGGTCCCCAAACCGGACCCCCTCCGGCCCCTGACTGCGCCTAGAAATTCTGTCCATAAATACAATGAACAGAACCGGTGACAAAGGGCAGCCCTGGCGGAGTCCAACATGCACCGGGAACAGGTCTGACTTACTGCCGGCAATGCGAACACAGCTCCTGCTCCGGTCATACAGGGACCGGACAGCCCTTAGCAAAGGGCCCCGGACCCCATACTCCCAGAGCACCCCCCACAGGACGCCACGAGGGACACGGTCGAATGCCTTCTCCAGATCCACAAAACACATGTGGACTGGTTGGGCAAACTCCCATGAACCCTCGAGCACCCTATGGAGAGTGTAGAGCTGGTCCAGTGTTCCACGGCCAGGACGAAAACCACACTGCTCCTCCTGAATCCGAGGTTCGACTATCGGCCGGATTCTCCTCTCCAGTACCCTGGCATAGACCTTACCGGGAAGGCTGAGAAGTGTGATCCCCCTATAGTTGGAACACACCCTCCGGTCCCCCTTCTTATACAGAGGGACCACCACCCCGGTTTGCCAGTCCAGAGTACTGTCCCCGACCGCCACGCGATGTTGAAGAGGCGTGTCAGCCAAGACAGCCCCACAACATCCAGAGACTTCAGGTACTCAGGACGGATCTCATCCAACCCCGGAGCCTTGCCACCAAGGGTTTTTGACATGAATCTGTATAACATCTCCGTGAGCATTGTCATGCATTCACACTGACTTACCCCTGAAAGCATCCGGTGAGCCGATATACTGGCCGTTTTCAGTGCTGACGAAAGTAGTCCGGCAAGTTGGCTGGGGACATTAAAATAAAGCGTTTTTCTTCTCAAAACAATATGTGTTCAAAAGAGTGATACATTTGCATCACAAAACCATCACCCTCAAAAAAGTTAAACCTCATAATCTCTTACCTGGTTTGGTTTCCACATTGAAGTCAAAGGCAAGAAGCCAAAGTTTCCCCAGTGCAAAGTCCATGACAGAAAAACGGTGAAATGTGTGTGGAGATTCAGCCAGATTTTTGTTGTTACAGCCTGGAGAATCAAAAGTTCGCACCATTTTATAGATATATTCTTATGTAACTTGTACAGGCTTATATACTTATCGCTATAGCTCTCATGTTAGCTCTCTCGCGTTGCGGCGGTCTGCGCATGTAAACGGTGCCGAAGAACTGAAGAAAGTGATGGAGCCGTGCGCGGCTGTCACCTGGCGGCAGCGCGCAGTGATACGAACGGAGAGAAAATAGTGCCAAGCGATTATGACGTCTGACTTTTTGGAGGACGATGGTTTTGTGATGCAAGTGTATCACTCTTTTGAACACAGATTGGTTTGAGAAGAAAAAACACTTTATTTTAATGTCCCCAGCCAACTTGCTACTTTCATCAGCACTGAAAACGACCAGTATCTCGGCTCACCGGACACTTTCGGGGATAAGTCAGTGTTGATGCATGACACTGTTCACGGGGATGCCATACAGATTCATGTCAAAAAACCCGAACTATCCCTTTAAAGTCCAGTGCGGTTTATTTGTGAAAAAAGTTCAAAAAATAGACCATTTAATGACAGTGCGCATTATAATCCAGAGCGCCTAATAGCCCGGAAAATACGGTTAAAAGAAATAAAAGACACAGAGGAGCACACAACTCAAGCACTGTTAAAAGCCAGAGAATAAAAGTGGGTTTTAAGACGAGACTTAAAACAATGTGAGGGCTGTAGGTGGGTAGAGTGTTCCAGAGTTTGGGGCTGACCACAGAAAAGGCCCCGTCCCCCCTGGTTTTAAGTCTGGTCTCAGGCATCATGAGCCGGAGCTGGCCCTCAGACCTCAGAGTGTGCGTGGATGTAAATTTGGAGGAGGTCTGACACGTACTGTGGGGCCAGTCCATTCAAAGCTTTAAAAACAAACAGTAAAATCTTAAAATCAATTCTATTATTAACAGGAAGCCAGTACAAAGACGCAATAATTGGGGTAATGTGCTCTCTCCTTTTGGTTCCTGTTAAAAGTCGTGCCGCAGAGTTTTGGACTAACTGTAGTCGGTAAAGTGTGTTTTGTGAGATGCCAGAGATGCCAGGCTTGATGAAATAAAAGTGTGCACGACTTGTTCAAAAAGTTAGATCAACCACTCCATCAGGAAGGTACCAAAATAACTTAAAATGAATTTAAAAAATGAAAACCTGCCAACTGGCTCTTAGATATACAACAGTAGTGTTTTACATAAGATCCAGTTTGTAGCCCTGACACTGCCTCTCTCTGCTTTAGTCGACTTTTGGGAATATTCACTAAAAACAGGATGATGATGATGATGATGATGATATACTCCGTTGTGTATCAGTGCTTCTTGCTCTTACACAAAGAGACAAACCCACTCCTCCTGTTGGTCAGGCTCTGTCATGCTCTGAGTGACAAGGGGGATTTGACCAATGACCGTGAGGTGTGAACTCTCAGAGTGGCAGATGCCTTTAGTTATTGCCTAAACCTTAATGTAATATAAAGCAAAAAAAGTGTGATCTAGGCCAGTGTTTCCCAAACCTTTTTTTCTGGGGGCCCATATTTTAAAAGTCATAAACCTTCACGACCCAAGTCCACAGACATTATTCTTGAATCACAAAATAAAGGTGGATTTGAGCATTATTGAACATGAATGAGGATATTTTATTGTTGACTGATTGGTCGTGTCTCTGAACAATAAGTATTACTCAATAATAATAATAATAATGATAACGGCAATAATACATAACACTTGTATAGCCCTTTTCAAGATACCCAAAGATGCTTTACATGAGAAGACAAACAATGACAAACAAGAGAAATAAGACAGTTAATGAAAGGTTTTGTTAAAGAGATGGGTTTTCAGGACTTTTTTAAACATGGGGAGTGTGGATGAGTCTCTGATGTGTTTGGGGAGGGAGTTCCAGAGGGTGGGAGCAGCGGCGGAGAAGGCCTGGTCCCCCCAAGTCTTATTTTTCGTCCTGTTGGGGGGAGACAGGAAGTTGGCATCAGCTGATCGGAGGACACGGGTGGGGGTGTGGTGGTGGAGGAGCTCAGAGAGGCAGGTGGGGGCCAGATTACGAAAAGACTTGTACACATTGGTGAGGAGTCTGAACTGGATGCGCTGGGGGATGGAGAGCCAGTGGAGATCTCTGAGGACAGGGGCAATGGGTTCATGGGAAGAGATGTGGGTGAGGAGGTGAGGAAGTGGGCAGCAGAGTTCTGGATGTACTGGAGTCTGTTGAGTTTGGAGGGTGAACGGTAGAGCAGCTATTACAGAAGTCGAGGCGGGAGGTGACAAAAGCGTGGACGAGGGTTTCAGCAGACTGAGGGGAGAGGGATGGGCAGAGGCGTGCAATGTTCTGGAGGTGATAGAAGGCGGTTTTGGTGATGTGTTTGATGTGGTGTTCAAAGGAAAGGGTCTGGTCAAAGAGGATGCCGAGGTTACGGAAGTGGGAGGAGGAGGGGACTGAGGGGCCATCAGTGGAGAGAGGGTGAAGTTACTGTGAGTTCTGGTTCGTGTTTTGGGGCCGATGATTATTTCAGTTTTGTTGCAGTTGAGTTGGAGGTAGTTGTGGCCGGGGTTATGGATTTAAACAAGTTTTAAACAATGAAAAACAGTCACTGAAGCAGCAATAAAAATGATCCATAAGTCGCCTATTTGAACATTAAATGCAGAACATTTTGTTTTCTTTTCAACATGCAGTTGACCTACATGGATATCATCACAACGCGACCCCAAAAAAAAATCTCTTAACCCAGTCTTTGGGAAACAATGATCTAGGCTCTAGGGCTGGGGTCTCCGACCTGTAGCTCAGGAGCTACCAGTAGGTCTCCATCCCTTTCAAAGTAACTCGCTAAGAGATATAAGAATTATGCCATTGTGCTGTGTGGAAGAAAAGTAATTATTCTCTGGTTTAGTTTTCATTCTGGTTAACGAATACATGTGATGTGTTTTACACTTAAAGATTTTCCCCATTACACTATCAAAGGCCCCTGGGGTCTTCACCTATCGCCCTCTGCTGCTGTCCTTCCTGATCTCAGCTGTACTTGAAATACTAATCTTTTGAAACAATGTCCACAGTTTTACCAAAAGGGGGTTTATGAGGCTGCTTTGTTATTTCTGTGAAATTGCGCCAAATGTTAATCTGCATATTTTACCCACCTCTTGTGTATAAAATGCTTGCTATACCTTTGCTCATGGTCAGCTTGCTCCAGAGACACCATGCGTGTCAGAAGCTCACCATCTGCTGGCTTACAACATGCAACTTCCAACCAATAAAGACACCACTACAGCAAACCAGATATGAACTTGGAATTTTTCTTCTTCAACAGCTGAATAACAAAAAAACTGGTTAATGACATGCCTATGAACTTTGTAAATGTATCATCTTGAAGTCTAACCTTGTGCACTAACAAATGGACAATGGCTTTATGTTTTATAGATGTATAACTGCACCCAAAGGCTTGCTCTCTTTCTTATAATCGTCTCAATTACTTGCGACCGCTAAAATAATTGGCTCTCTGGCATTTTAGTTTTGTAAAGGTAACTCACTGGAGGAAAAAGGTTGGAGATCGCTGCTATAGGGAATCCTGAGAGAGCAAACACACAGAAAGGTCCCACATGATTAATGTTTAGAGTTACAAATCAAACCTGGGATCATGTTGGTGTGAGGCTGGACTGCTAATCTGTGTAACACCAAAGACTGCACCAAACTGAGACTAAGGTTTACAGACTTATGACTTTACAGACTTGGATATCATGTTCAGTAAATTGTATTGTGTTCCATACATGTGTTTTTCTGTGTGTGTGTGTGTAGGTGAACGAGGCAGAGGAGGAGCGTCTCCGCAGTGAGAGGGAGCACATGAGAGTGACTAAAGCCTGTCAGGAGGCAGAGGCTCGAGTCCAGACGCTGCAGAAGTCCCTCAAAAGAGCCATCATTAAATCTAAACCCTACTTCGAACTGAAGGCCCAGTTCAACCACATCCTGGAGGTCTGTCCAACACTACGTTACTCAGGGTTTTGTAGGCTTGTAAAATGTCTTTAAATGGGACTAAACACCTAAAGTCCACTCACAAGCACATTTCAAATAGAGCTGCTAAACTGGGCAGTACCTGGAGAACTAAAGGGGAGCGTGAGGAGGGAGGAAGGGCAGGATCTGGAGGTATAAGGAACAGTGTGATTGGTATCCACACTTTAACTCCACTCTGCGCCAGGTTTTTGTATCAGAAATACCTGTAGTAATCAGGCCAGTGCTGTGTGATGTCATGTAGCACTTGAAATTAAACTGGAGGCTTGTCCAACCCTACAGAAACCCTGTTACTACACTATTACTACACTATAACCATTTTTGTTCAGCTTGATTTTAGAATATTTGGACACATATGAGTCTATGGGGGATACATAGTAGTATTACACTAGTTTTATTATCCATTAGTATCAACTCTCTGTCCTACACAAACTTCTAACTTCTTTCAGGAACACAAGGCGACGGTGCTGCAGTTGGAGGAGTCGGTGTCTAAAGTGAAGACGCGTTATTCTGTGGCTCTGAGGAACCTGGAGCAGATCAGTGAGGAGATCCATGCTCAGAGAGGCACCCGAGAGGCCTGCCCCAGCCTGAGGAGTCCCCCCGTGGGAGCAGAGGCGAGCGGGGACAGCGGAGGGAGGGAGAGAGGCGCCTGTGGAGGGGCCGACCAGGTACCACTCATTAACAGGGCTAGAGTTATGACACAACTAGTACACAGCAAGTAGAGGTGGAAGCTATAGCATCTACATAAAAAAGTACTTAAGGATATGCTAACTCAGAATAAAAAACTTACGGTTTATATCAGCAGTGTCCAAACTATGACTAGTGGCCAACTGAGGCCCTCAGACCAGTTTGTACTGCCCCTCAGACCTTCTGCTAATCTGCCTCAGTTGATCATAAGCAGTATTTTTACAGTAAATGTAAATCATTCTACCACTATGACCTCAATAATATAACCTTGCACTGTGATACAGATCTGAAATGAGTGTTCCAAGACTCACCAAATCTGCATTTAACGCAGAAGGAAAAAAAAACCTGACCTAATTCCAGAATCCAGTACATTTCAGAGCATGTTTGTCGAGGTCTGAACACTACAGGGTTAGCAGCTTTTTTCAATAACTTGTTTTACAGTGGACATTCTGTTACCTGCATACCTGCAGTTAAATTGCAGTTTCAGTTAGACTGTGATATATTGATACTCTGCAGTGACATCATGCTGGGGGTGTTCTACATATATGCCTATGGTGGAACGCTCAGCAGTTACTATGATGACACAATGCACACATTTGCACTGCAGACACTGTCAAATAAGTTTTAATAACCAAGTCTGAAAACTCAAAAGAAATGCAACATGGATATAAACAGCACATTTTCTGGAGCATTTGTGGTCGTGTTTAGGAGTTTGATTTTCAACAAAAAAGGTGAGAATGACTAACTGAAAAACTGTTGGCTGATGGCTAGCTTGTGACTGTGATGTTGTTTGAGAGAGACGTGTTTAACAGCACAAATCATCTCACCTGTTTAGTTGTTCCAACTAAATCAAACCACACGCCCAGAGAATGTTGACAACAGCAGCTGCAAAGTATCACTTGTGCAGTTTTAGTTATCCCAGTTGTTGATCGAGGTATGCAGCCACTCTTTGTGTTGTGTTTTTGATACTCAGCCGCCCTCTGTGTCCTCTGTCTCTGCAGCTGGACGTGGTGTCTGCGATGGAGCTGGTGGAGAGGTACAGAGAGAGAGAGAGGGAGCGCTGTGGCTCTGACTCGGTCTCCGTGTTCAGTCTCCAGACCATCGCCTCTGACCTGGAACGATACGACTCGGTGGACCACCTGGGCGACCTGAGCGACGTGAGCAGCGTGACGGGGGAGGAGAGGGACGGGGAGAGGGAGGGGGAGGGGCGGGATAGGGCGAGCAATATAAGGAAGCAAGAGTTCAGCAAAACGCACCATAGAAGCTTTAGTCTGTGAGAGAGAGAGAGAAGAGGGGGAGGAAGAGGAGAGGAGAGAGAGTGCTACAGACAGAAGGAGTTTAAAGAGGGGGTATTATGCATATTTACTTTTTAGAGCTTTCTACAATATTATAACATTGTTCCCTCCTCAAAAACACGCCTGAAGAGGGTTTAAATGTCACCCAATCTTGTTTGAGTAATGTAGTGATCTCTCCTGGGCCTTATTCAAACCCTCCTTAAGCTTCTCTGCAAGACTTAGCCTACAAAATATACAAAAACATGATACAAATCTACACTACGCCTTCACAAACCTGACACGATGTACAGTAGTTTCATTAGTAGTATGCACGCCGATTGTGTTGTGGTGTCACTCTGAAGGGGGAGTGATTTAGCATGAAGAGCAAAGTGACAAGGGACTCAGAGCATCACTAACAAAACTCAACCTTAACATTTTAACACGTCTTTTTTGGCGAGAATTGCATTTTCAAAACAGTAAAAGGGTAACATGGTGATCTAAATGTTTAATATGTGTGAGAATAAGTGTAATTCCCCCTCTTTAATTCATTTGTGAGAAAGACAGAGAGGAGAGAGAAAAAAGATGAGAAAAGAAGGTTGCATCAGTGCATAAAACAAGGAGGAGATGGAGCGAAAGAGAGGAGGGGTGGTGGATACACACTAGAGGAGAGAAGAAAGGAGAGAGAGGGATGGTGCGTAAAAGAGGAGTGACATAGAGGAGAGGAGGGCTGGAGAAAAAACTGGAGGGATGGGTGAGACTGAAGAATTTGGCGCTGACAAAATGCTATTAATACGAACAGCGCTGTTTTGAACCTGAGCCCTGAACATTCCTGACCCCAATACGACCCCAGATTGACCCCGCCGTGACCCCGTCGTGACTCCATCGTGACCTCTCACTTTCCTCCTCTTCACCTCTGGACAAAAGATTCCTCTCTTTCGGAAAATACTTCAGGAACTCCAGGTTAGCCGAGTCTGTTCTTAAGGCCGTGTTTTCCTCGTGGATACACCAGGGGGCGCTGCAGCAGTGGGTTCATTCATTTGACACTCACAATCTTGTTTTTTTTTTTTTTTAATGTAATTTATAAAATCGGCATTCCACCAAAAAAACTGGACGCATTTGAGCAAAACATCGCTGCAGCTACTGAACATAAAGAAAGTACATAATGGAAATGAAAGCGTCCCATATTACACTGTTTTCTCATCTATGTTATAAGGTTGTTTCCTCATCACAAACAGACCCGGAGTTGTCTCAAACTGAAAACCCTCTCTCTTCCACCTTGTGATGTCATTAAGTGATAATACAGGACATGCTCCACTGTGTTTTTAACTCTATACACCTTGAGTACTGTATTTTTCTGACTATAATTCGCACCGGAGTATAAGTCACACTTTTTGGGGGAAATTTATTTTATAAAATCAGAGACCAGGAATTTTATCTTGAAAGGCAAGTTCTAGTAATAAAGACAGGGAACAACAGTATGAACAGGCGTTAGTATGTTCACGTAACATATTAACAATTATTCAGATAACTATAGCATAAACAACAGAACATAAGTTTACCAAATTCTCAATTATACTCCATATCACTAAATCCACTGAATCCATTGAATTCTTCATCCTCGGTGTCACTTCTGAGCAACTCCACGCAACTTTGGTTGTCACTGAAGTTCAGGCTTTGTCCATCTGACTTCCAGGAAAGTTACATGTTGCATCCTTCTGTTTGCCGTGAAGCTGTGTTCTCCATTCCCACTTTCTGTCAGTCCCTCACAAGTTTCTTGCTCACTCCAAACTTTCTTTCTGCTTCTTGATTTCAGTTTTCTGCTGCATATTTCACTACTTGCAGCAGGAGAGTGGCTTTTTCTGCAGGAGACATGTGCAGAAAACTGACACACAAGCCTAGAGCCTCTTGCAGCTGTCAGTCTGAAAATTCTAATATATAAGTCACACCGGAGTCGCAGGAAACACCTAAATCATGAAAAAAAGTGCAACTTATAGTCCAAAAAATATGGTAGAATCATTTGGATGATTTCAGCCCTTGAATTACCGATCTCTACTGAAGTAAAGGTAAAAGGAGCTGTTAAATTGAAAACTACGGCTACATGACATCATAAGGTGGAACAGAGTATTTTGAGCTTTGGAGATGTAGACAAAGGTTAATCAAACATGTGAGAATGAAACAAAACACAACTCGAGGTCTGTTTTTGAGGAGATAACTTTATAACGTTGTTTAAAGCTCACAAGAGTCAATTTTGTGTAATACAGGAGCTTTAAATGTCATTCTAAATGGCTGAATTAGTCTTAAAGTGATAAAAATAGTAACTGGAGATAGAAAACCTGATATGACAACTAAAGTCCAAGCGTCACTCTCCTTCAACGCTCTTCTTGTGTTTATCGTTTCCACGGCAAACTTCAACAAATGCACGTTTTATAACACTTATCTCAAAGGTGCACTATGTCATTTTTCTGGTTGTGTTGTTGTTGTTATTTACTTCACCCGCTCGTCTCCGTGGATAAAGTTAGAAGGTAAAAAAGCGTGATTTTCAACAGATTTTTTTTTACACCAACAAAAATAGTATTAAATGCAGGATTACTGTTGAATCTTAAAATGAGAAGTTACATAATGCATCTTTTTAAAATAAGAAACTTCACTGAATCTGTATCTGAGTGGACTTGAACAACCCAGAGGACGATGATGTCACGAGGTGGAGGCGAGCGTTGTGAGCTTTGGAGATGAGCCAAAGACAGAATAAACAAGCAAATCAAACAGAAAAATGAACAAATTGCTAGTTCTATTTTAAAGCTCCACTGTAACTTTTCTGTTTCTGCTGGAGGGTGTGGCTCACATTGTTTTGCCTAGAATGTTCTGCAGTATGGCATTAAAAAAATCTATTTTGATGGGGACAAGCAGTTGGTGTCACCAGACCATGTTAGAGGTCAGATCCATAGAGAGGCAAGTCCAAGTTTTCCAAGATATGTTTGAGCAATAAAAACGTATGTAATGCCGTAATGCTGCTAATTTAAAGCCAAACTGCGGAACATTCCAGATAAGCAATAATACAGGGTGTCCTAAAAAATCATTTCACAGGCCAATACTTTTGTCAGTTCTACTTGAAATTACCTAAAATTTTCACAGAATGCACAGAAACGGATCAAGATTTTATATTTAATGTTTTATTTTTGTTCTGTTTTCTACGTAAGCCGAGAGGGGTCACAACAAACGCAAACGCCGCAACAAATACAAATGCCACAACACAACAAAAAGCCACAACAAACACAAAAAAAAGCCACAACACACCAAAAAAAAGCCACAACGGAAATGACTGCGGGACTCTATTTTAATGCAAACTCCACAACAAATACAGAGTCCCGCAGTCATTTCCATTGTGGCTTTTTTTGGTGTGTTGTGGCTTTTTTTGGTTTGTTGCGGCGTTTGCGTTTGTTGTGACCCCTCTCGGCTTCTGTAGTTTTCAGGTTGAGGCGTTCACTCCCAAAGAGAAGTTATTTTGCACTCTGGAATCTGCTCGCACACACCCAAGACTGTGTGTGCAGCAGATTCCAAAAATGACTTGAGTAAACAGCATGGCTCAACCTGAAAACCGAACAAAAATAAAACATAAAATCTCGATCTGTTTCTAGACATGCTCTGAAAATTTGAGGTTATTTCAACAAGAATTGCCAAAAATATTGCCCTGCGATGTCAACGTTTTTGGGGCACCCTGTACATTTCTGGAGACAAGGAGATCTGGGACCCTCCACCAGAAAAGTTAGAGTGTAGCTTTACTTACGTCCATGTCTTTTCACTTGACACTGTTCACCTCACTGCTGTATGTCTAATGTGAAAGAAACGCGGATCATTTTCATCCTAAACAGGGCAAATCGTGTAAACAGAAGGGCTAAACACGTCCGCACTTCTAAATAACATTAAAGCTGCACTGTGGAACTCTTCTGGAGCACTGTAGACATAGAGATGCTATTGATACTTTGCAGTGACATCATCCTGGGGGTGTTCTGCAATCTGGCCAAAATTTTAAAACTTATATCAGTTTATTCATCTTGTTTTCAGATTTATTATCGACTCACTAGTTCTGAGATGATACATTCTAGTCTAGAGTTAGTTTATTTTAGGAGAACTTATCAAGTAAAATGATGTTGCTGCACGGACACATCATTTTACTACTTTTAAGTCATTTTCAGATAGATTTAAGTGTTTATATCTTAAATTTTGGCCAATCAGTGTATTTTTGTGTCTATGGAGGAATGTTCAGCACTAACCATAGAGCCACAATGCACACATCAGCAAACACAGCCTGTTTTTAAAGAAAACCAAAGAAAAAAACAAACAAACAAAATGGATTTAAACAGCATTTTCAGGAGCCTGTGATCAGTCCAAACGTTCATGGTCCTGTTTGATAGTTTGATTTTCAACAAAAACATTTTAGAGTGACTAACTGAGAAACTGTTAATGCCAGCGAGTCTGTGACAGTGATGTTATTTGAGACGGAGTTGTTTAACAGCACAAACCGGCTTGTTGTGGTGTAGTTCTAGCTTAAGGCCGCCACACACTACAGGAGAATTTGCCCGATTTTGGCTGGACACGTATCCCCGAGTTTGGGGAGGTGTGACCAGACTTTTTGTCTTTATGTGCGATTTTGAAGCCATGTATCATAACCACCAAACATCAGCAACACTACGGTAACAGACAATAAAACAGAGCATCAGGGAAGTGACAGACACAGAGGTGCAAGATACAAACTCGGTATACAGCGAAAATAATGAGAAGACTTTATTCTCACCTCTCGTAAAGTGGTAAATTTAAAGTTCAACATCTTATTCACATTATCCTCTGCAAATAATGACATCCAGTCCACAAAACAGCGCTGTAAATTTAGTTTGAATTGTTCTTTAAAAGTAAAACGGCGAGAATGTGTCTGTTTACATCCACACAGCGCACGGACTGAGGTGAAGCTGCAGATTAGTGACAGTGACTCTACTTCCTGTGAACTTTATTGCCAATCTATTACACTTTAAAAATCATGTATCTGAAATTTTGCACCACATTTCAGAAATAATAATGACACAGTTTTGTCTGGTATCTAAACTAGAAGTGCTGAGCTCTGATCTTTGAACACTTAAGAGTCTCAAAGCAACTGGTTTTACTGTAGACAGGAAACAGCTGACGCCATCGCGCTCACAACTTTATATCCTGTGGTCTACAGACAGATCCCACTGCAGTCTTTACGATCGGAGATTTTAAGTTTCGTAAGATTCTCCTCATGTCTGCGGTGTGCGCTTTTTATCGCACGTTTAAAAATGGTTTATGACCGAAAAATCCTGTATTGTGTAGCAGCTTTAAATTAGCTCTTTATGGACTACAAAGTAGTCCCTCTAGTTAGCATCACACCCCAGGTATTGTTGATGACATCAGCTGCAAACTATCAACTGCTTGGAATGAAATGTTCCATAGTATGGTATTAAATCTGTCTTCATTTTTTTTTAATTACAGGTAGTTTTATTGGTAGACAAACACATTGACAACCATGCATTCTTACTCTAGTCTGGCTCGCCTCGCCACAGATCTGACTTGTAACGTGACCTAGGAGCGTTACCTGCTGGTCTTCATGAGGCTAGATAATGCCATACTGTGGAACAAGCCAGGCAATAGCATCTCCATGGATTAGGGTGACCGGACATCCCTATTTCCCTGGGACAGTCCCCGGGGACACAGGACTGTGTCCCCTGTCCCTGCAGATTTATACAAAACCACTGATTTCTCACAATTTTATACAAGAAATGTCCAAGTTGTCCACATTTCTGATTAATTTGACGCCCACCAACAGTAAAGAGAGGAATATATTGTTATTTGTTTAGTTAAAATACAGAAACCTTGTTTGAAAATGACCATAAGACAAAAAAATGCAACAACAGTCCTTCAGATTATGAGTCGAGAATGGGCAATGTTACGTGCTTTTTTCACTATTTTATCTCCATCAACCATCCCAACCCCGGTGCGTCCCAGTTTTTAAAATCTGAAATCTGGTCACCCTACTATGGAAACACCAGAAAAGTCACACAGTGCATCTTTAAAACCCTGCTCAAATCAAATCGTGGCAAAATGGCCGTAGTACTTGAATAAAGCGCCGTGTAGTTTTAGCACTTCCACATGTATCACTCCATAGACGTAAAGCATTAACCCACACGTACTCTTAGTATAGTGGCTTTAAACGAGTGTAACTTTATTTTGACATGTTCAGAGCTTGATTTTGAAAGCTTTTGTAGATTTAATGTTTGTCGACCAAAATCCTGGCGCATGTTGCGTGGTTAATTCTGCTGCTAATTGTTTAAAGGGCCTGTACCTGATTTAGAAACACGACCCAGAGACATGTTTTAGCCCCGTCTACTTAGTCCTCTCTGCTGCTGTGATGTTGCACCATGACCGTAGACTGTATTTATAAAAGGACAAATGGTAGGAAGTGAGTATGAGGGCGTTTCCGGCTTCGTTTACTCCAGTAGGCTCTATTCATGCCAAACCCCCAGGTTCCAAAATGGCCGTCCATTCAATCAATGGGCCGAGCTCAATGGCGCATATTTCCAGATTCGCCTTTAGCCCGGCGAGGTACTTCAGGTGGCTGTGGGCCGACCGAGCATGTGCAGTAGTGCTCTCTTCTCCCACGGGTACATGTGAATGCACACGAACGCACGCACAGAGCGCATGTTTGTGTATCACGTGATCGCTTTGACCAATCAGAGCGAGAGGAGCGAGAGCGAAGCGGAGCCGGAGCTAACGATTGTAAAGTGTTTTTAAGGTTTTGAGCTGAGAAAAAGTTTATGATCTAAAAATAGGTAAAAATCGCCAACAAATCTGACACTTTTGAAAGTTGTAGGTCCCTGTCAGCCAAACATGAGCAGTTTGTGATTTGTCTCTATGAGAAAAATCTTGTCTTGGCCCATGGGATTTTTTCCGTTGAAGTTCCAGTGAGTGACACTACGTCAACTGGAGGCAGCTACAAGCAGCAACACCCTATCCAGTTATTCTAATAGATCCATGATTCACGCTTACATCACAAACCAGGAAGACGTTTGGAAACATGTGATGAAACTTCCGGTGTATTTCCCGACACTGGACTCACCGACCGACTGTGATCAAACCCACTGAAGTAAATGTGATCAGAGGTAAAATGAAGACTGCAGACGTATGTGCTGTTTGGAATCATCTGGAATTTGGCGCCTTATCTCTTCTAATCACATGTACCAGTGCACTCGGTGTTGTGTGTCAGTGGTGATGAAAACTGAGGTCTGGTTGGAATTGTTGATTAACCAAACATAACGCTACAATGACATGTTATAAATTGCTTCAGAGTATAAGTCGTACCAGCCAAAAAATGCAGAATGAAGAAGAAAAAAACATATGTAAGTCGCACTTTTTGGGGGAAATTTATTTAATAAAATCAGAGACCAGGAACCGACATTTTGTCTTTTCAGCCAAGTTCTAGTAATAAGAATAGAAGAGAGAACGTCACATATGAACAGTTCTTCAGATAAATATAACATAAACAACAGAACAGAACAAGTTTACCAAACTCTCCATCTCACTCCAAATCACTAAATCTGTTCAATTCTTCATCCTGTGTCACTTCTGAGCAACTCGGCCTTGACCTCCGGAGGTAAACAGAGCGCCGCTTCCTCTTCTGTGTCGCTGTCGTCAGACTCAGCATCAGTTCCAGTTAGAATTATTCTGGTCTTTCTGAATCCCGGCAGGATGGTTTCAGTGTCACTGAAGTCACTTAAAATTAACCATTTCAGTGATACAGAAGTAATGATACAGACAGGACAGAGGCTCTTTCTGCAGGAGACATGCGCAGTAGAGTGAAGTAATAGTAATAAGAGTAGGAGTAGGAGTAACAGATCCTGGCACACAAGCATAGAGCGCCCTCTTGTGGCTGTCAGTGTGAACATTTTAATAAGTCGCACCGACCTAGTTGCAGGAAACACCCAAACCAATTTTTAAAAAGTGCGACTTATTATAACGTTGTTTTCAAACGTCTTCCTGGTTTGTGACGTAAGCGTGAATAAAGCCTTTTCACTTTCTATTCAAAAATGGTCACCTGTTTCTCTCAATTGGTAGTTTTCAGATTCTAGAATATGAGGTCATATTTCCAGATGAGGGGCAAGAGGCAGTTTTTTTCTATCGATTAGATTGTACTTTACTATTAAATATTCAAAACCTGAACATTTCTATCAGTGTCTAGACACAACAACTAACTGTATGGCAACAAAAATCTGCATTT